GGCGCTCAGGTATTTATAGCTAGGCGTACGTCGAAAGTGATTGCGTCCTACGTCCCTGGAGCCATTCTACATGCCTCTCGTGCGGCCGACGTTAGCAGCTGATATCTCTCGCAAGATCGATCTACTATACCGATTCATTCGCGGAACGACTATTCTCATAATTTGAACCACGACTATATTAAGACAGCTCTTATAAAAGTGAATAGCAATCTTCATTGACTTGTCTTTCGCACTGGGCGTGGCTATTACATATTTGACCTGTAGCCAGAATTTCCAACTTCGGCGAACTGACGTTTGATCTACGATTACACGGAACATCATGTAGGGAAAGTGGCATCACTCCTCGCGTATCCCGCTGTGAATAGCCCATGATAACCAGAGACAGTCACCTCAGGAGTCCCGGATCAATGTTGCTAGGCTCGACATGCGCCTCGGAGCATATTGTGAATCCACACCGCCAGAAGCTGTCGAGGAAAAGAGAAATTTGGCACTTCAAACAAATGATCCATGGATCAACGACTAGCTATCCGATTTGCACCTTTTATAGTCCACCATGTGTCCGAATAGCTGAGCATCGCCAAAACTGGTTAACAATACGGTACAATCGAAAGGGGCAGCTCCATGATAGATAGACCGAGCAACAGGAAGAACGAAACAACATAAAATCTTGCTCGCTGGGTCTTCACGAACCGAATACCCAGGAGAAAAGTGAGTGACGACGAAGCGCTGAAAAACAACATGGAAGCCTACCAAGAAGATCCCAACTCACGTCCTTTGCCGGGGACGATTTCCTTGAGTATTGTTTCGGTCCCAATTGCAACGGGTCATCATTGTTAACAGGCCAAGTCTAAACGCTTCCAATACTGAGTTACTAAATGTAGCCTCTAACGTAGACAGGCTGTGGGTGGACTCACAGGTGGTCGGGCATGAGTGTCGTGACTAACACAGCATTGGGGCTGTACACGTTGAAGATGAGCACTCACCTGCTCAAGGTTCCCAGTTTTTGCTATGAAACCGAGTCATGTTTCTTGATAGTCGCTTTTGAGCTGTTGATAATATTTATTCTCACATCATACTTACACTGCTGAAAAACGACGAGAATCGCAGGTACTGATACCCAATACAACAACGATACCTAAAACATGGCAACTTGTGCACTCAGAGTACTAAGGAACAAATGACTTTGATTCACCACAACTCCCTTGCAGGCGTGGCAAGCGGATTTTACATTTGGCATGTCACCGGTGATCTGCTCGGTATCGAAATGCTTCAACTAAAACTGTGCCACAGGACCTCTCTTTACTCCATAAACCGTCGGGGTATAGTATTGTTACAAGCGTAGCAGCGGTAGAGCATCCTAAGCCCGAGTCGAAAAGCAAGAAGATGTGAGAAAAAAGCAAATTGAGTGACCCGCCAAGTTTTTGACCCCCACCGACCTTCTCGGTGTGTCTGTCCCTTTCCAACCCTCGTCATCAAAGCGTCTCTGTGCGACCTCGCCATTGGCGAAATATCGTGTCTCATGACATGAGAGACATCATACCATTCCTCCCCTCTGTGTGACCAGCCCGTGATTTACCGCCACAAGTCCGCAGACTTCTTCTCATTGTTGGCCGTGCTCGGTCTCGGCCAGTAGTCCTCGTCACTTCCCTTGCTTCCGCCTGTGCTTTGGCTGGGGATGGCCATGAACATACCCGCCCCGTTGCCCACCATAACGCTCTTTCTCGCCGCGGCGGTGTTCCATCCAGAACCTGCAATGTCCGCACCGAGGCCATAGGAACTAATCGGCCGGTCACCGTGTGCGCTCATGCTACCGCCTCGGCGATGGCCACTAACCGGGGCCGTTGGCTGAAGCATCACTGAGGACCAATCGAGGGCGTCGTCTGCCTTGCAGTAGATGGTCAAAGGATGAGAGAGCGGACCGGTTCCAGCGAAAGGATTCGTCGAGCTAAAACGTTGTGACGCGCGGACGTTGGAGGCCGCTGCAAAGGGCCGGGGAATTGCCATTCCACCACTATTGGGAGGGGCAAGGCCGCCGCGGCCGCCGCTGGGCATGCCCGACATTGGCCGGTGGGATGTGACCGAATGGGAGGACTTAGGCCTAGCATTTCCGCCAAACGAGAATGGTGCTTGGGGCCGCGGCAGGCCCTCTAGCTCGTCCTGGAAGTACTCGTCCAAAACGTAGACATCTCTCAGGTTGGGCATACCATTGCCTCTGAGAGATGCAGCTAGATATGTGTAGTAGCTGGCAGTCACACTGGAGAAAGGTCCTGCTGAGTTGGCGGCGGTGATCTCGAAGCGGAGCGACTCCAGAGAGGTTGACGCAAGCCGTCTCGTTTTCGGTCCGCTCTTGAAGGCCTCGCTCACCGCAGCCTCAATTGCAAGTGTCTGTAGGCTCTGGGCCGCAAGTAGAATTTCAGCCAACGTTGCTGGATGGACACCCGTGTTCAGCAGAGAGAGAACGGTAAGGATGTTGCGAGTGTCGGGACGGCTGAAGTACTCAACCAGACCCGCGGCGGTGACAGATGGGGTGTTGCTGAGGATCAGCTCCTCCAGGGCTGGGAATGGAGGCAAGTCCTCGTTGCGGGAGAACACGTCGTCTGAGAAAGCGTGAGAGTCCATCACCTTGAGTGCACGGAGCTTTCCAAGATTGGCCAGCGCATGCCGCAGTACGAAGGGGTCCATATTGATCTTGTGCAGCTCCAGAACCTCCAGATTCTGCCAGATACCGCCATTGGCCAGCTTGGACAAGCTGCTCTCGGAGCCTCCATGGTATGACATCTTTCGGATGTCGCGGCATCTAGCCTCGACTTCAAGTCGAAGGGTTGCATAGCCGTGCTCGTCGGAGAAAAGACCCTCGGGGAGGTCGACATAGAGAAGATTCGGGAGCACGTGGATGATGCGGGCCAGGTCTGCCGTGGCAGCCTCACGGAGCATGTAGGGCACCTTGAAGTATCGAACTCTCGAGCCAAACCGGGTGGGGTCTTCACGCAGCGTCCGACAGAGCAACTTCAGGCGAACAGTTGGGGTATCTTCGGGGTCGGCATTGCGCTTGAAGAAGGTTTTCCGCTTCCGCTGCTCGGAAAGGTAGATTTCGCGGGGGCAGTAGTGAACGGCGTCGATTCGAATGCTGTGGTACCTGTATGGAGACAACTATTAGCCAAATGCCCGACATCTCAGCCTTGGGAGAAGGGGGAGGGGGGCTTGCTTACAAGGCGGCGTTGGCGACTGAGTTCCATTTCCAACTGACCCGTGCGCAGCTTGCGAGATCTCTCAAATCGCATAGCATGCAGGCGTCGAAGATGGCGCTCGTTTCGCAGGTCTCGTAGGTCTCATCTTGGGTGTGCGGGCAGACGAAGGCGAATATGCGCGGAAGAATATCTTTTGGCAAATTTTCGAGGAGGAAGGTGGAGGCGCGGCTTGGTAAGTAGAGAGGCGAGGTGTTGTTGCGGAAGTTCTGCTGGACCTGGTTGGAGTACTTGGACAGCTGGTGGTCGGCAATGTCGTGGGACTGAGAGTGACTCTGCACGTGCTGCTTCTTCTTGTCCTTATCCTTCTTGAAGAACCTCATTTTTGGTAATGGCCGAATGGCGAACTTCATGTTGGAGGGAAAAGGAAGGGCGGCGTCGGCGCGACGAGGGTGGTATTAGGGGATTAATATATTAAATCAACGGGTCTGCAGTCGCATTTGACCGATCGGCGTCGGCGCCGGTGGTTGGTGCGATGGACTTGGGTGCGGCAGCGGGCAGTGAGCAGCGAGCGAGGCTTACTGCGGCAGGGCCAACGCTACCACGAACCAAACTTTGTAGGTCTGGTGGCTCGGTCAGCTTTTTATCTTTGTCGCCGTGTGCTCGACGGCTCTCGCTCTGCAAACGAGGGGTTTTCTGTGGTTGCCCGTCTTAAGTAGGGAGGTGGTGGTGAGGTGGTATGCGCCGTAATACCTTCCAGGCAAAGTTCGCGCAGGCTTGCCTGCTTTTGGGGGAGGTGCCAACGGTTTTGTCTGGGATTTCCCGGTAAGTCATCGCCCCCAAAAATGGCAGGAGCCATGCGTGCCCCCTTTTTCCAAACTTCAGATGAAAAAGTCCGGATATCCGCAACCAGTAGTAGCTCTGGTTGGTACGGACACCAACCAACGTTGGCCTTGTGTGTTGCTATAAATTTCACTCTACATGCAGGTGGGAAATCACCAAGCAAACCGAACAAAGATGGAGGGCCATTGGAACAAAGGCTCGAGCGATGCGACCGCGGGAAGCGGCTACCAGGGGAACTTTTAGTGGCTCCTTGGTGCAAACTAACCTCCTTGGTTCCCCCCATTCAGCTTCCTCTCCACTACGAGGCGCCCTACACTTCTAGGGACCCCTGGGCGCAGCGGCCATCAGCGTGTGGGGAAGGAAAATGACGTTCCCCTGATTCGCTGCTCATGCCCTTGGATCCGCAGCGGCCCCTGAGTCCTGGAGCAACGAGCACGCGTCGATTCACTGCTCATCACTCTTACCCTTGGTGCCCAGCCGATCCTCTACTCTTGAAACGAAACACCACGCCTTGCGCTTTGCTGGCGTGCTGCCTTGCGCCTCCCTCCAACCGCCCACCGATGCGTCGTGGCACCTTAAATGCTACCGTGAAATAAAGCCCAATCGGCAGGTAATGCAGTGTCATTTTGTCCACTATCTCTTCCATAAAGGAATCACCTTAAACCAATCTAATGCTCAGTATGCTACTCTGCTCGTACATATCCATGTTCGTCCATGCAGTCGGTCCACAAGCCCTACCCTATTCTTCTGCCTCGCCTTTCACCTCTCCGTTTCTCTTAGCATCCCATTACGTCCATGTCCATATATAGAATCGTCATTTGCGACAGGCTGGCCAAGAGGCTGTGACACCCACACTCAACCACCCGGTATCGCTTTGTACATATCTCGGTTGTGACCCCTCTTCGTCCCCCGTATCACATCTTCCTGACATGAATCATGTCTTGTGGTTGTTGATGAGAAGTGTTTTGGCAATCAGTTGCCGTTGAGCTGCACTCCGTCGAGAGGGCTAGCAGGGCCCGAGGGACGCTTGGCACGGAGGGTGAGCGGGAACGGGTATTCATCGGGGTCTTCCTCCTCACTGCAAATGCTTCTTAGCCTCCTTCACGGTATGGGTAACTTGATAAGACTCACGGCAACTTCCAAGCGACATAGTCCTCGGTGTTCAGTCCCTCCCTGCCCTCCTGCAAGCTGGCAAAATCACCAGGAGTCATCATGCCAGTACGATCCCTAGGAGAGCCAGGCACCGAGAATGGCCGTGAGATCTTCTGCTCGACACCCGGGATGAAGTCCTCCTCCTCATCGCCGCTGAACGAGCCAGGGTAGGCTCGGCGCAGCGCCAATTGACGGGCCTTCACGTACTCCATTCCCATTCTCTTCCAGTCTAGCAGGTCGCTAAGACGCTCCGTGCGGTTACGCTGGTTGATACGTTGGCGACGGCTCTTTTGACAGAAGTCAAACATGTGAGTGGTAAGCTGGTTTACGGAATCATCAACACCCTTCGTGCGGCGGTCGACAATGTAGATACCATAGTCGCTTGAATTCTCAATCAGCTCCTCCATGTAGCACCCGAAGCCAGACAAGTTCGTCGTGATACTGGGAACACCCATGACGGTGCACTCGGCCGGAGTGTAACCCCACGGCTCGTAGTAGGACGCGAAAATGCCCATGTGTGTCCCGCGCACGAACTCGTCATAGTCCAAGGGCAGTACCGGGTTAGCTGAGTTCAGGAACTCAGGGTGGAACACAATCTTGACACGGTCTGTAGGGTGGTTGAAGAGCTGTACCCGTCTGATCTGGTTCAGAATGGGATCTTCGCTGTCGCTGATCATGTTGTGGGTGACGATAGGGGGAAGGCCGTGGCGCTTCATTGCAAACAGACGCCTGCGGATCAGGACACGATCCTGGCTGCTGATGAGCTCCTTCTCATCAGGCATCGGGTCACCGTCGTGCCACTTGAGGGAGCGCTCGAAAATACGGCGTCCAATGCCTTTCTCGATAATATCGACGGTATCACGCAGAGACTTGATAACAGCCTGCCCCTTGAGCGCTTCGACCGTCAACGAGGTGGTCTGGGCCGGCATGATAACAAAGGCAACAACAGTCATCTTGCTGCCGGCAACCTTGAGGCGGTGGTTCAAGCGAGCCAATGACTCGATGAACATATCAACACCCTTATTTCTGAACTCGTACCGTCCGGCCGTGAAGAAGTAAAGGGTGTTCTCGGGGTCGAAGTCGTAGTGGCCGTAAAAGTGTCCGCGCACGAAATCGTGGATCTTCTCCTTGGCTTGCTGGTGCAGGTTTTGAAACTCGTGCATGGCGGAAAACTTGGTGACGTTCAGTCCATTGGGCAGCACGCCATCGGGTTTCCGCTTGAGCAAGTGCTCGCTTTCGTATGCGGTGATATGAGAGACGGTAGTGAAGACATCGCAGGCGTGCGCGGCAGCGCGCTCGATGCAGTAGCGGTGGTAAATGCCACGCTTTCCGGCTTCAGCGTCAACATCGAACCATTGCAGGTTGTTGTAGAAGTCTACAGAACCAGCGCAAAGGTATCTTCCCAAAAGCGTTGCGTGCGTCGTGAAGATGGTGGTCACGTCGATGCGGCGCTTCTTCGTCAGGGGCAGAGCCACGCCGGCAAGCCATTCGTGGAAATGCGCAATGACGGCTTTGCTCTTCTCGTGGCAGACAAACTGGGGAATTGGTCAGCTTCATCCTTGAGTTATCTGGAAGCAGCTTACCTCGCCCAAAAACCACGCGACAAGGTATCCGAAAACGACAGCTTCGTTCGTTTCATCATCATTGGGTGGCGAGGGGATGCTGGCGACGTTCCACAAGTCGGTCTTCCACTCGTCCAAGAAATGGTACGCAGTCTTGGTGTCAATGAGCAGAACTCGAGGAGCGCCATCAATGAGCCATCGACCGTAGAGGATGCCAATGCCACGGTCCCTCATGGACTGAATCGTGGCAGCAAGTTCGGGAGTGGTCGGTTCGAGCTCCTCAACCTCAACAGCAGCCTACTGCCTATCAATACAACGTAGCTACGGCATCTAGAAGACGTTCTCTTACGGAATGGTGGTTCAAGGGACCGATGAGGGTGTAGCGGTCGCCATATTCCGCCGTGGTTACAGGAGCTTTGGACTTGATGACGGAATAGATACCGCCAACTGCACATGGCACGAATGGGTCAGCCCACTGCGGAGACGATAATCCGGGGGGTCAGGCGTGGGGATGGTACCTCGATGAGCAACCTCAGTTGCGATTTCGAAGAGAAGGTGGTTCTTGACGTCGCGAGGAGGACGATCGGGGTTGTCCCGAGTACCTTCTGGAAGAGTGGACATTGTAGAAGCTTAAGGGGGGTTGGAGATGCTGTTGACGAAGCGTCAGTTGGTGTAGATGAAGAGGAGAACAGCTTGAGAAGTGATGGCAGCGACGAAAGGCGAGGGTAAAGAAAGAACGCGAAAGCTGCAGTGGAGTGGCAGAAAGCCAATTGAAGGTTGAATGACGCAAGTATGCAGGGCGTACTGACAGGCAAGGTAAGGTAACCAAGGCGACGCAGGCGAGAGGTGAAGGACGTCGGAGCTTGGGGAAGCTCCCGAGATGGCGTGCAGACGGACAGGGCTTTGATTTAAAGACAATAAGGCGTGTGGGAGAACCTGGGCGAGACAGACAACAGCGGGCTTAAGAAGGGCTGGATGGCGGAAGGAGAAGGGCAAGACCAGAGAGCTCTCTCGAGAGGAGATGTTTGCGGGGAAGAAAGGTTTTAGCTACGAGATTGTCTTGGGGGAGAGTGAGAGAAGGCGCGCGGGCATTGCATTGGCAGGCCTGGCCTGATGAGGTGGTGGTGTGGTTGTGGTTGGACAATCCAGTCCGGTCCAGCCCAGCTTCTCGCTGCATGTACTGTTCCGGGTACTGCGCAGTACCTTGCTTCGCTGCGACGCTAGCCCCGATACCTCTAACAGCTAGCTCCTCTCCTCTGGTATCTGGACCGGGGAGAATACGAATGGTCAGAGGGAGGGAGTGGTCAGGCAACGGAATGGCAACAGCAGCAGCAGCTGCTGCTGCGAATAAGCTGCTCAGAGGACGACTTCCCCGTCTCCATCTTGTCTGTTCCCTCGGAGTGCGGGTGAAGAGGGGGGGAATACTGGAGCTGCAGCACGATTCAATGGGCAATGAATGGACGCTGGAGGGAGAGCTGGGGACGACTGTGGAACAATAACAGCGGATATTACAGGGCCCTAGGCCTGTCTGAACTTTCAACTTTTGAAGCTACCGCTAGCGGGAATCCACAGTGAGGTGCAGTTTGGGGTGGACTTTGGTCACCCAATACCAGGGGGGTACAAGTCCAGACCACGCGCATTCTCAACAAATTCTTTTCCCATATTGCCCTCGCCGAGTCGCCGTCCGGTATCCGTACTCTCTCTCTCTCTCTCTCTCTCTCTCTCTCTCTCTCTCTCTCTCTCTCTCTCTCTCTCTCTCCGCCTTGTTCTGCTCTGTATCTTGTGTGTGTTTGCTGACTTGCTTCTCGTCCCCTACGGCATCGCCGTGTGTGATGTTGCCGCTCTTATTCTCCGAATGCGACTCTTCATGCGCCACGAGTCCTGACGAACCCGATATTTGGCGCGCGAGAATTCCCGTTGCTATTACGGGAAACAGTGAAAACTTTTTCCATGCTGCTGGCTTCGTCCGAACGCCGAGGAGTCGCCTTGTAAAGAACCCTGGGGTTACTTTCGACCCTCTGTCTTGCTTCTACATCGTAATTCTGACCCAGATCGAAGAAAACCCCAGAGAGAAAAGCGCACGGGAGGCTGGTCAAGGTACCTGGGCCGTACCCAGCATGGGGGCGGCTACCTGTGGAATGACGGCCGGGTAGCGCCAGCGCCAGTCTTCACGCAATTTTGATAGCTGTGGGTACCTGATCAAAGCACTCGCAAGCTGTTGCGAGCTTCCTCTGGAGATGCTTAGTCAGAATGACGACAGTCTTTGCGGGGTTGACACAGCTCCCCAGACTCTGTCTGCGAACTCGCAGTGTTAGTGTTGCTTTCTGGGGTGACCTGTGCCTGTCAGGAGATTGAGCGAGTAAAGAAACGCGCGTGCACGGCGTCCAATCAGTGTAAACAATTCGAGCGAGCTGCAGACTTCGAGCCTTGTTCTGCAACCCTTGATTCAGAGTTGCTGTTGCTTGCGATGGCGTTTTTGCCAATTTCTATTTGTCCTTCGTTCCGACCAAGCAAAATTTTCCGGTACCCCCAACTGTCGTGTCTCACTTGGAAGTTTTTTCCTCTTCCCATCTCGCCACAGTCTCTCACTAGCTATCCTAAGACACAAAATTCCAAGGCATCGCGGGAGTCTTGTTTCCATCTCGCCTTGCAAACTCAGCCCCCAATGGCCAAGATCGTGAAATGGTCCACGAATGCGTCCGGATACACCCGCCAGACGACGATCCCTTACATCACCTACTGTGTTGATCTTGCAAAACCTGGTTGTCCGGGAATCGGTCTGTGACATTCCTGTCACTGACATCTCAACCATCGCTAAGGTCCCGCCCGAGCCAAGTTGACATGTCGATCTAGGCCCTCGTCATGTCATTCAGTTGAGCCTTTTGCGATTCTTAGACGTCCGAGGGCTGAGGCATCGTCGGTTCAAGTGTCACACTCCACAACTGCTACCTATCTGAAAACCAAGCTGTTGTCTCCATTCAAGATTCATCACCCCGTTCTATGGAGTTAGGCACCGATGCCCGAGTGCGGCATCTGAGGCTAAGCATACCCGCCCTCCACTATTACTGCAACCGTATACCTTCATACCGATAAGCTGGGACTTTAGCCAGCCCCGCGAAACAACAAGATATATCTGTAACGGTTTTGACCGTTGTCCTTTGACCCGATTCATTCTCATTGAACGTATTCCCACTGACACGGATGCGGACAATACTATCGCTTCATCTCGAGATCACGATAACACCGACCTCTCTTCAACCGCACGATCATAACAACAACTATTCTCCTCCAAGCTCAACGCAAGCGATTGTCTTTCAGATTGAGAAATAGCTGTAATTCACCACGCGAAACCCAAACGTAATACTTACCGGGAATGTGGCGTCTGCATAGCTGAAAATTCTTTAGAGTCCTTAGCTCCAGGGTCTTTGGATGGCTTGGCCCACACGATCATCTTCAATTCCAGGCTTTGTGCCTTCAACATCATTCTAGGTATGATGTTAAAATGCGTTGATCAGGCAACGAGCCTTTCTAGTCGGGCGATGCCCTCTTACATCGCAGCAGGGGTTAATCCTAAACACAGCTTCAGTCATTTCGGTGATCATGTCAACAGGCCGAGACTGCTTCACGAGGTGCAGCCAATTCCTCAAGGCATGGTAATGTCTCAACCTGATCAAAAATCTCAACTGCCACGGACAACACTCAGGAAGCCTCAGCTGCCATGCTTGCAGCGACTGCTTACGGGGCCCAAGCGCTTGCGGCCGGCACTTCGGATCACATTCCGCGTGCTCCATCGAGACGCACTTGGGAGGAAATGACCAAGAGACTGGAATTTGAATAGTGCCCGAAGGACGCAGAAGTAACCCCAAAGACACCTATTCAGGCAAACGTGCAAAACAAGACACCCTTACCCTTGGCGGATTCTAGAATTTGCTGACTGCCGTATATGAAGAAGCCATCTCCTGGCTCGCTTCATAGCTGCCAGTTCAACAAGGTCACAGACGTGACGTCTGCTTTTGAGAAATATCCGATATCCTTCTCGGACTAAGTATTGAAATGTGGCTAGGGCACTCATGATGCCACCGAAGGCAAGTGAATATAACTTTGACTGTTGAACGCCGTTGTCGACGGTGGATGTGATATCCTTGAGGTAGCATACACAGTGCTCAAGGTATGAACACTGTACGGATGTGCACTGTCCGCTTGGGAAACTCCGTTTCACGTGATTTCACTGTGGGATCAAGGTTTTCCCCCTCGGCCCACGACACTTCCATTTGATTGTCACCGACCAACGCAACCCAAGACACTACAACTGATCCCCAACCAGCAGGCGATGACGCGCGATTGCGTCTTTCCAGACCATCAAAACATGCGATCGACTTGAAATATCTCACGGCGGCTTTTTTTTTTCGCAATGGATGCAGGGTACAATACCGCCCACTCCGCGGGCGAGGGATTACGGAGCTACGGAGTTTGTTGCCTGAATGTGCCGGAGGTCTTTCAGAGCATGGCGTCGTGAACAAGGCTATGGCGGCGGTTTCCATGATACTCATCAGGCAGTTTGACTGTACTCTCGCTATGCAATATTGCCACATTCGCAAAGCCATGCACACGGCCAACGGACGGAAAGGCCTCGGTGCCGCGACTACCCACCCACCAAGTCTGGCCATTGTACCAGCTCGACCGGGTCCGACAACGAAATCCAGCGCCGTACCCGGCTGCTGATTATGCGGAGAACGGCGACAGAAGCCCAAGACTACGTCGCGAAAGACGACGTATTCAAGCGATGCCCAGCGGGTCCGAGCCAGCCGGTCCTCTGATGCTGGCCCATGGGTTTTTTTGCCTCTAGATTCTGAGGAGAGGAAGGCGGCGGTTCTACGCACGGCGGGAGGAGTTTGAATGCGGATCACTATGGGAACTTTTTTTCCCTGCCTGTGGAGGACGCCTTGAGATGCACGCCCGATCTATCAACACGGTCCGTGTCGGGCGACATTTGCAACCGTTACCCTGTGCAAGACGGCCATGGTTATGTGTTTCTATCGACGCTGCCATCATGCTGTCCGTTTCGGCCCTTGCCACTCGGGCAGAGAACACTGAGCAGCAGGCCGAATGGTCTGAATTCTTCTGCCACCGTTCGAAGCAGGTGCTCCGGGACTGCCACTCGTCGGGCGTGGCTCCAGGAAACTCCAAGCAAAACCCGGCCACGTCCGGCTCGTAAATCGTACATAGTGAACTTGTTGCGTCAGTCTTGTGCCCAAGTATTGGGTATCGGCGGAGAGGAGGACAGATAGTATGCTAGGATTTTGGTCTATCTCTCGGTTCAGGCTCAGGCAAGAGCTGGATCACCAGTTGATGCTTCCAGGCGTCACAGGACAAGCCAAATTTTTGCCATGGGAGCATCGGTGGAGGTTTTCCCCCCTTCTGTGGTTCTGCAAGTGCACCAAGTTGGGTCGGGAGAAATGGAATGACTGCCGACTTCCTGACGGTTGGTGGTGGCATGCTACAGCGGTGTACGTTCACCAAAGCGCCTACCTGCTGCTCACTCTACAAAATCCGCACACATGCGGCAGATTGGGCTGGTGCAATGCTGCCATCTACGCTCCAAGGCGAAATATCTGCTTATCCACCTGTTGCCTGGATTTTTTCTGCCGACTTCAGCCCCCAGATTCTGTCTTTGGTGGTTCGCATCACCACAGACGCCCACCTCGACATCTGCATATCCCGCTTAGCAGGGCAGAGTGTCGCGTTATCGGAAAAACCTCGGCTGGCAACGTGCTCGCATTGCATCTAAAAACTCAAATCGAATTGCCTGCCACGATGGAGTCCTACCACCACAACCGACCTCGACATGTCGCCATGAGAGACGACCGCAGACCAGGCGATGAGCGCAGAGACCGAGGCCGAGCTGGTCGAGAAGTGACACGCTCCCGCAGATCTCCTTCACCTCCATCCCGTCGACCTCGGGATTCCGATAGACTGCCAGACAGCAAACCGCGCGACCATCCCAACGACAAGTCACAGCCTTCCTCCCGAGACCACCACAAATCCCGCGATCGTAGCCGAGATCGCCCTCGCCGTGCGTCCCCATCGCCTTCACGTCGCGACAAGTACAAGGAGGATATCCGCGATCGGTCTCGTGGCCGGGACGCCGTTGACTCGCGGCGCGACTCCCGGACCCGGTCACATAGGGATCGCAGCCGAGGGCATCCCCGAGGCGACGGCCGTTCTTTATCGCCCTCTGTGAAGCGAACGAGAAGTCGAAGTACGGACCGAGCTACTGCAGACAAGAAGAAATCAAGACGAGACCACAGCCCTCGCCGTGACCGCAAAGACTCGGCCCCCCTTGCGGAGTCACGGCATTCTCGCAGCTCTCCTCGGCCTTCCAGACGATCACCTAGCCCCGATCGCCGGGATTACAGGTCAAAGAACAAGGAACGGAGCCGACGCAACCGCCGGAGCAGGTCACGCTCGCCTGGTCGAGACCGACGCGGCCGAGACTACTCCCTTCCGCGTCGTCGCGAGCCATCATCGACCCGGAGAAGGGACCGATCTCCGCTATCAAACCACCGGCATAGATCCCCTGCACGAGAGTCTTCGACATCCGTCAGGGGTGAGCGACGTCCGGCATCGCCCCGTCGTAGTTCCAGAGACCGCCAACGTCGCAAGGAATCTAAGTCTCGTGCATCCTCTCGGTCCGCTAGTAGGGGGTCGAGTCGACGAGTGCCGCAGAACGAAGGTTCACGCCAGCCTACAAAGTCTCAGCCATCCTCCGGCGCGAACAGCGTGGAGGTCAATATGGGCGGCAGAGGCAATCACAGGGGAGGCTTTGGGTCTCACCCTGGTTCATTCAACCAACAGTTCAGCGACCCGCGCCAATTCTCCCAGTCCCCGCAGCCGACTCCAAATTCTTACAACGCTTCCCCAAACCACTCACCCTACGGTGCTGGTAGAGGGAACTGGGGCTCTCAGCAATTCTCCCCGACACAGTAAGTTTTCCATCATTCCACCATCTCGTTTTGATTCGTCTACTCACATTCGCATAGTCAATACCCTCCTCAGTACCCTCAATCCAACTTCGGACCCCCATCTGGACCACAAGGCTCGTACACACCAAACCAATCGTTCTCACCGCCCCCGAGTGCTCCAACCGGACCTATGCAGCCATATTCCCAGGGCAACTTCCGCGGCGGCTTCCGCGGCGGCGCTGCGTTCCGAGGCAACCAATTTGGATCCGGTCGGGGGAACTACAGAGGCAATGGTTTCAAGAGTGCGCAGTGGACTTCCAACAACCATGCCTCTGCTTCTCGTGGCCAATTCGGGCAAGCGGATGAAGCGAACTCTCAGCAGTCCACGACTCCCGCACAAAGCAACAAGTCAGACGTCGGCGACAATGCTGCAGAGGGCGAAAACCCTTTCCGGCCATCAAAAGACATGCAAGTGGAGGACACTACTCCGTCCGAAAAGACCGGTGAGAGCGATACCCAGCGAACTACCAGAGCGCCGCCCGTCGGCCCGGCTGCTCAGTCGTCGTCGAAGTTCAGCTTTGCATTTAAGGCGTCTGCAAAGCCCACTCCGACGGCGCCTAAGCCGGAGATCTCTCAGAAGTTCAATGCCGTCCCTCAACGACGTGAATCCACTCACCAAAATGATTCGAGAGACCACGACCGTGATCGCGACCATGATCGGGATCGCGACCACCGGGACAGAGATCGAGACCGAGACCGTGACAGGGACCGTAACCGAGAACGTGATCGCGACCGGGACCGGGAACGGGACCACCGCGACAGAGACCGGGATAGAGACCGGGGTCGGGACAAGGAGAAGGACAAAGCCGCCGACAGAGACATCCCTCGCGGGGCTCCGACCGAACCTGCATCGGCCAGAGCTCGCCAGGATTCAAGGCAACAACCACCCCCTGGGCCCCGTCAGCCCCCTGCACCAAGGACTCGCAAGATCAAGAAGACTATGCGGCGGCTCAAGCCTGGGCCGGTATTGCCTGAAGACCTGAAGACTTCAGATTCAGTTTACTTCCGCAAGCCTGGCAACGAGTCTGTCGTCGGTTCGGGCACCTATGGCAAGGTCTTCAAAGCTTTGCACGTCTACACCAAAGGCTTGGTCGCTCTCAAGCGCATCCGGATGGAAGGCGAGAGAGACGGGTTCCCGGTCACAGCCATCCGAGAGATCAAGCTTCTCCAGTCACTACGCCATACCAACATTGTCCAGCTACAAGAGGTCATGGTGGAGAAGAACGACTGTTTCATGGTTTTCGAATACCTGTCCCACGATCTGACAGGTATTCTGAACCATCCTACCTTCAAGCTGGATGCGGCCCAGAAGAAGCACATGGCCAAACAGCTTTTCGATGGCCTGGACTACCTACATAAGCGCGGAGTCCTCCATCGCGACATCAAAGCCGCCAACATCTTGGTTAGCAGCGACGGAATTCTCAAGCTCGCAGACTTTGGCCTCGCACGATTCTACGCGAAGAGACACCAGCTGGATTATACCAATCGTGTTATTACCATATGGTATCGCTCGCCTGAACTACTTCTCGGCGAGACGCAGTATGGCCCAGCCTGCGATGTCTGGAGTGCTGCCTGTGTCATGGTGGAGATCTTCACCCGCCATGCCATATTCCCGGGGGATGGAAGCGAGATCAACCAACTGGATAAGATCTATGCCGTTATGGGAACACCGAACAAGGCAGAATGGCCTGGGCTGGTGGACATGGCTTGGTTCGAGTTGCTAAGACCAGGTTACCGCCGGGCGAACTCTTTCGCCGACAAGTACCAAGACAGATTGCCTCCTGCCGCCTATCGCCTGCTGGCCGCCATGTTCCGTTACGACCCTGCGAAGAGGCCGACAGCTGCAGAGGTCCTCGCGGATGAATACTTTACCACCGAGGAGCCTCCTCCAAGGCAGGCTGTTGAGTAAGCATTTCCACCCACAACTGTTTAGATGATATTCAACTAACAAATTACATAGGCTCGCTACCCTGGACGGTGACTGGCACGAATTCGAATCCAAGGCACTCCGACGCGAGAACGAACGCAAAGAAAAGGAAGCTCGGCGCGCCGCAGCGGCGTCCGCCAAAGACAACAAGTCTAGAGAGAGAAAGAGGGAGAACGACGCTCACGATGAGCGTGGGGAAGCTAAGAGAGTCCAGCTCGAAGGCAAGGCAGCCGTGCCTGCCGAACGCTCGAAGGCCTAGAAGACCTGCCCATTTTGAAGCTGAGCTGCCTTGGCTTCTGCCAGACGTGGTGCAGCGCGTGGAACGGCTGGCCATGGCGGTACACATATATCCTACTTAACACACAAACCTGCATTTGTTGCGTTGGCATGGCGTTGGGGAACTGAAACTTATGGTTGAACGAGAAGGCATAGTTGCTTTGAGGCTTTATGAGCAGAGGGTTCGTTTTTTAAACTCGACATGTTTCATCGCTGGTCAGCGAGATTCCCCCCTACTAGATGGATTTGGAGACACGACGGATGGGCATGGGATGGCTTCTCATCGTGTGGCTGTAGGATTAGCTGGTAAATGCATGTGGGATGCGTCTCGGACTAAACTGTGGGCGTCGAGGTATGAATATACCAACAGATGGGGCGGACTCAAGCCATCTGTTCTTGCAAACATGACAATGCATCTCTATGTGATGGGCCTCCGGTACTTGATCAAGTCTGAGGTCGTGTTTGATGGTGACGAGGATACAGGAGGTTTAGATCAACGACCACACTCGTCTTTCGTTCCTCCCACACCACATGTTTCTTGCTCTCGCTATACTACAATAGAAAGTCAGTCTGGTGTTCTGCAGACTTTACTCTTATCGGCAAGAGGCAGTTTGTCTTCCCCAGAAAGTGACCCGCGTAGCTATCATGCACTGGTTTTGTTGATCTGCGTAACCGAATAAGACAACACCGGCAAAGATGAGAAGAGTGGTTAAGTTTGAGCCCCAGGCAACGAGTCTCTAGGAGGTAAAGAATTGCCTTCCTGCCTTGTTGCTCTCCCTCCTGCGTTGTCGCCCGAAAAGATTCAGAGGTTGGATCGGCAGCCATTGCATTGTTGTGCTGTCAAATGTTGACGTCCTCACCATCCGATTATATATCAAGAAAAGCCGTGAGAACCAGGCTGCTCGAAGTTGATTACAAACAGAGTCTCACTGAAAGTGAGGAGGGCTTAAGGGATGTTTGTTGTGTGTGGAATGATACCTGCTCTCATTGATGTGTCCGTCGTGCCTACACTGGTCGTTGGAAGGTGATGAAGACGATAAGGTCAGAGTCATTTATGGGTCATTATGAATCACTTGAAAGTATTTGGCTTGTATAATGGCAAGAAACCGAGGAGCAAGACCACATCCGCACTGACAGCATATGCGGAGGGAGATTGCATGATCGTCCCTTACCCCTGCTGGTTCGCAGCCAGGCGCAGGGTCGGAAACACTTTCGATGTTGTTCAGCCGCGACCTTTTATCAGCTCGAGTCTATGCGGGCTTTGGGTCGAACTAGCATCTGATCTGGGCTCCTGCGTCGTCCGTGGTCTCTGAGAAGAGTCGGTCGAAACCCGTGCGAATACGCTCTGGAGGGTATTGCAGACACGAACTCGCAAGGCCTGGGTGGAGACTCTTCAGCGTTTCCCTCTCGGGCCGCTGGTCTTAGAAGAGACTTCTTCTTCAGATCACATTTGGGAACATGAGGCCTAACGTAAGTACTCGTACTTATACCGAACAGACAACCAACGCCCTCCCTTTTGCGTGCGTCCGGCTCGCGAGAATGCTACGCCTCGTCATATCTCCGGGCAGTCATACGTATAAAAGGTAGATTAAAAGCAGGTATTCCAGCATCACAAATGCCTGAAATCGACTTGGTTTTCATTCATAAGGCTGGTTGGGCATGCCCATATCCACATGCAATGTTGGCGATACGTGCAAACTAGGATGTCGGATTCCTGACTGACTGGCTGTAATATGGTAACATGCTGCTCTTTCCAGCGCCTTTCATCTCTGGCCAATGATTAATTGCAATTGGGCCCAAAAATAAGAACACGGCAGTGAAGATCGCGACTCTGCGCCGGCTGGAGTTTTCAAACGAAAAACATTCTTGCTTTTGGATCTCTTATTTTTGGAGTATCTTACAAGCCAAACACACCTCGAGACAACCTTGCAGGAACACTCAATAAAACGCCGCATGAAAATCTCAATTTGAAAGAACCGCCAATCCTAGCAAACCATTTCCGCATCTGGCTAATCTGTGTATCATAGAAAAAGTCGTAAATCATCGTCAAAATCGTGAGCTGTACTGGTTACAGATGGCGAGACAAACACCCATTTGCGTCTCTTGTCCTTTTGTGTATGTCCTTTTGCTGTATATGGGTATCGTAACCTTTTTTGGTAAATCCTTTTTGGTTGCGGGAAACAAATCATCGCCGCTGCACCGTATCGTCCAGTCATGTATACCGTAAAAGGCGTCTTTTTCGCCATCTTCCCAAGTTGTCATCGTGTTGCCATCTCAAGCCTGGCCTTCGATGGCCTTTCCCTTGTTCTTAGTGTCAGTTGTCTTGAGCAGATCCCGCAAGCTTCCCTCGGCATGGCTCCTGGGAACACCGCCTTGAGCGGAAGTCGATCCCAATCCCACGATGGGCGGTAGTCTCCAAGGCACCCAGCCGGTGAGCCCCGCCAAGAGACCCCTGGTGTTCTTCGTCTGATCGAGCTGGGTTGAAGTTTCGCGCTGTTGTGGTTTGGACACTTCGTGCTGCAGTCTTTCGTCCAAATCTTTACGGGTATGGCGATGCACCACGCTCTCTTCTACGTCCGTCCGAACTTCGAGGTGGCTCGTCGAAGTCTTCGGCAGAGCCGGCTCGCTCACCAAAGCATTCGCCGAGCTTCGTGGTGATGCCTGGTTGCTGGCCGTCAGGCTCTGTCGTGTGCTCTCTAGCATGGCCGTCGCGAACGACGACGACTTCCTCCTGACCAGAGGAGGCAACTTGTCCTTCTCTTCTTGTTTCGAGGGCCTTTCTTCACTGACTGTAGACGAAGGCGTCGTGCTGCCCGACTTCCGAGCTGCTGCCCTACCTCGCACCTCTGCTGTAATCTCAGCTGCCGACTTCTTCTTGGACTTATCTTCCTCCGAAGACCGGCTGGACGACATGATGGTTTCAAGCGTCCCCATTGCTATGCTCCTCCTCCTACCATTACTGCGTCGCTTCCTATGTCTTCGTTCGTCATCTGATACGGCTTCCAGAGTAGGTCCCACACTGTGACGCTGGCGTCGGGAAGATGATGCGTGGCTGACGAAGGACGCGCCGGAGCCATGAGGCGCGACGTGAACTTCATACTGGCTACTCAATGAGTATCGAGACCTGGCACATATTTCAGCGATGCGGTCCAGGTCGGCGTTGATGTTGTTGTCCCCCTCCTGCGACTCGATGTTGGCCATCATGCTCTTGAAGCCGAAAGCCTCTACGGGAGGGAGCTTGGCCATAGCCTCTTGTCCTTCCAGTCGCTTCTTTGCCATTCCTCTGGCCATGCTTAGACCGCCATTTTGAGCCGACTTGCTGCCGCCAAAGGGTGTTCGCAGAGCAATGATGCGCCGAACAGATGCCGCCGGGCCGCTCACAACGGATGAGGTGGACCTTGGGCCAAGACCGGCGCTACCACCGTTGCTCCGATTTGTGCTCGTGGGTCGGCTATGTGAGCCAGAATATGTCCTGACGATGACTGGCTGTGAGTAAGTACTGCTTTGGGCGCCGGTAGACTTGGCGTAGCGGTGACGAGACGGGTAATTGCTATTGAGCTCGCGCAGAGCTGAAGTGCGGTGGGCGGCAGTGCTGTCGTCAAGAGGTATGGGCTTCCCCTCTGCAGTCGAAGGAATAAGTGAGGTCGAGGACGTGTTGGGTTGGAAAAGCGGGGGAAAAGAGAAGGTCAAAGAGTCTCGCGTCGCTTTCTTGGACGCAAGTGGAGGGAACGGCGTCGTGGCCGAAGAGCTCCGAGTATGAGACGCGGAGGTAGGATGGCGGGATTGAGATGGACCGGAATGGTCCTTTGGTGGGATCTTCCCCGAGTCCATCTTCACAGTGAATGGCGTGTCGTGGGATGGGCTTTATATGTGTACATTCATAAAGGCAGTATGAGCTGCTAGGGTAGCAGTGAGGAGCTCAGAGCAGGTGGTGTTTTCTGTCGTGCGGCGGGTAGTGAGAAAAACAGGAGAATCAGATCAGCGAATGCGGAGGCATGGCTGTGTCGGTTCTCGCGTGAACAAGTGTCGAATGTCGTTTTTTGACTGGGTTGTAGGTCGCGCGGGCGAGCATATGCAGGTAGGTTTTAGCAGCGGTGCGTCTCGTCCGTTCTGGATCTCTGGCCTTCCACTTTCGCCGGGGTGGAGTTGGGGAAAGTTGAGACAGACAGAAGCTGGCTCGTAAATCGAGGATGGAGAGAGAGAGAAAGAGAGGGCGGCGTGAGACAGACAGAGGCGGCCGATGGAGTAGTTGATGCGATGGTGGATACTGTCGAGGATGCAATCCGGATCGCCTCGAGGCGCGTGGACGGCGTTGACGCACGAATTCCCTGCAGCAATTGCAGTTCCTTCGCAGAGAGATATGGACTGGGGTCTCTGAGAGGGGAATGGGAGCAAAACAACAAATAAAGAGAAAAAAAAGAGGAGGAGGAAAAATGGCTTTGCAGTGTTTAGGGTGAAGTTGCATCCGGTAGCAGCGATAGGCGGGGGAACTACCAATAGCTGGGAGATGGTACTTTCAAGACACAGCAGACGGCGCCGTTTTTTGGTAGGTAGAAAGGCAACGCAAGTAGGCCTGTCGCCTGTCTGTCTCTCAATGTGCCCCGAAGCTGACTATCACACATGCGGGCAAGGAGCAACGCAGCACCAGCGAACGAGCAGGTGCGTGCTGCACGAGTGTCGTGGCTGCCGTTCAAAGGGTGGACCGACCCGACCCCCCCTGTCCACGACTGTGTCTTTCCGTCCAATGACAGCTGTCTGGGCCGTGCCAAACGAACACACTGTCGGACGGCCACACTGTCCCCGCTGCCGTTCTTGCTCCGGTTCGTGGTTCCCCTCCCCTCCTCAGGCGACTCGGGCCATTCCCAACCTGCCGTTCGACGCCCAGGCCACAGCCAAATCTGACCAGTCACCAGCACCAAGCAGCGCAGAGCTATGGCGACTGGCTAGCCACACCAGCTACTTACTTGCTAGACCAGGCCGTATCAGGTCGTTTTTCTCTCAACTGAGGATAGGTAGGAAATGACGGTTGACGTGGTCGTCTCTCAGGGCAACTGATGTTTACGGCTGTTCAAAGTGCAAATTGCTCGTACGCTGTCCTTTCCAACCCGTGTAAGACGTCAGAGCCGTGGGAAAGCGCATATTGCTTCGCCATCATCATCTTATGTCTCTGCCCTACCGACCGCCGCTGTGGACCCGACCACGGCCATTCTGGATCAATGATCACCATCCACATGGCCCCGGCCGGGCCAATTCTGCCGGCTCTTCCACATTCGTCCTCCGGGCCGTCGAGGCGCATGCTACCGTTGTCCTCGTCTGCATCTTCCAAGGTCAAGGTTGTTATCCGTGTTTCTCGCGGCCACCATGTCTTCAACTCTGCCTTGCCTATCGGGTATTTACTCTACAACGTGGCAATGGGCGAGGACAAGGTCGGATGCGCTGGCACACAGATCCGGCGCAATAACCTGCACACGCGCCAGGCACGCACAAGCCGTTGGTCACGTTTGGAGTACAGTGATTTGTTTTGATTTTTGCTTGATTAATCGTATATCCATGCCGTCGTCAAGTAAGCTCTCGCTCGTAAACCATATACCCTCCAAGCCACCAGCGCTGGCGATGCGTCGTGCTGCGTGGAAACTGGCAGCGCCGTCGTCATGTACTTGCCGCGTGGAAGCACTCTGCTGCAGCCACCAAAAAATCCTCTCCATCGCTACGCGCCATCACTCTAAACACCGATCGCCTTTAAGCCGTCGGTTGGGCAATCGTTCCGTAGCCCTGTCCACCGCTCTGGACTCTGTCGCTGTAGACACCAGGCGCGCGACCGGTCACTATGCGGCCCTCACGCGCCTGCTCGCGACGGTCGTAGTAGATGTATTCGACGTAGAAGGCGTGAATGTGTCCCGGGATGTATCCGAGAATCGTCAAGCAGATGTTGACGAGGAGATCTACCGAGCCGCGTCAGTTTATGCAAGCCAAGGATAAGAGCGTCGTGCGATCCATTGCGGCACTTACCCATTCCACAGCCAGCAACGGCATAGACGCCGACGGGCGGAACTGTAGTCAACTGTCAGCGCGAGGATTCTTGTGGTGCCGGGCAGGGTCAGGACGAACTGAGGATGGTGATGAGGATGAGGAACACAGCAGAGATTGCGCCCATTGTGCCAGTTTGTCTGATGTCTGTGGTTGAGTTTATGTAGGGTCGAGGATGATGCTTGATGAAGAATGTCCAAGTGTGAAGACGAAGAGGCAAGATCTGCTAATCGACTGAAGTGCGTTCAAGGGTATCACAGTATTGGGATTGTTGTTGCGGGACAAAACGGTGACAGTCCCAGCCGAGGCGGACAGAAGCTTAAATGCACCGACCAAGCTCAGACACACAAGGCAAGGAAGGCAGGCGAGCGGCCAAAATTGCCGTGCCTTGTCTTGTTTTGGGTAACAGATTGCGTGTATGCCCGGACGCCTCCCTCTATTGCCAGCCAATGTTCTGGTCGAGTCTCATCGTGGCGCGGACTGGACGGCCTGTGAATGACGTAACCTGCACGTGTCGTTTCACTTCGCCAGCAACCGAACCTCGCGCTCGCGGTGCCTGCCCTGGACTGATGTATCTGAGTCTACCTAGGCCCCAGCCGGACCTTCTTGCTGGACGCGACCCTCAACACCAAAGATGTCAAGTTGACACAGTTGGGTGGGTGTTGGCAAGCGCTCTTACTTAACCACCTTCCTCCTATGCCCTGGGTGGCCATTGGGGCCTTTTATGTCTCGGTCTCGGCCTCGGCCCGCTGCGCATTTCTGTCCCACAGCGCCTCCTGATCACTTGATAACAGCCGTCCACCAGTCTGATCCCTGGGTGAGGAGCTGCAGCGGCTATCATCACATCCACCCATTCGGGAGGTCGACTTCGGCACCACTTGGGGCCCAAGCTCCCGGCCACACACACCCTTCGCGGCAACAAACCTCGCAAACCCGCTATGAATAGACGCATCTCATTGTGAGGCACCTGGTGAGGGGATTGCTGCTCTAGGGATAGCTTCCTGGCTGCACCCTGTGCCTGAGACATGCAGTCTGCCCTTTCCCGGGGAGCCCAATCAGATGGAACTGCGGAGCCATATCTCGAGCCGGATGTCCACGTCCACAAGGCAGATAAGAGTATTGAGCTTGAGCAAAGGTGCGATTGCGATGACATGCTGCTTGGCTCGAGCACCAGCTTTCATTGCCTGACGTAGGTGACGCAATTGTTCAGATTGAGCTTAATGGATCCTGACGAAACAGCCCAACTGCGAGGCACTCGATCGTCCGGTGGTTGCCAACAACGCGGGAGGCATGATCTTGAGCTGAGTGTCGCTTTGTTGTAACAGTTGTAGACAAGCTGAACATTGCTTTCAAGTTTGAGAGCTTATGTGTCATTGACAAGGCATTCATAAGACACGATACCGACGGCCCCCTCAACCTGGATCGACCGCTGGCTGTACCAGGACCTAGGAACAACGAGATGTATCCGGAACATCATCCGGGGTTCCGTACTCCTCCTGACAACGAAGCCGGCTGTCGATCACAGGTGCAGAGAAACTACACTGCAACAGGGAACAGCGCTGCGGTCGTGCTTCACAGCCAGCATTTGAAACGGCGGGACGCGTAGCCGCACAGTCAGCCACGACTAACATGCGCAAACAAACAATACCATCAGCCCACAACGTTTCCATAACCGGTCAATTGCCTTTCGGCTTGCTGCCAACTTCTCCAGCCGGGGGGCTAGACAATCGTGGCAGTTTTGGAGCTGAGATTCACTGTCGCAAAGCAGAAGGCGATGTCAAGCTTGATCCAGGCACCACGATGTGAGAGTTTGTGCACCCTTGAGAAGGAGGCAGACGGAAATGAGGCAGGCCGGCGGACGGGCCATGGTTGTCGAATTCGACCCCCGAGCGGTTTACAGTCGCATGCCGCCGTCACATCGGCGGACAACGGAGTCTTCCGCGGGTGCCGAAACCCCCCAGTCGAAAGCGACATGGCAGAAGAGTGATTCAAGGTCCAGAGACAACGGGCGTCTGCGAGATTGTAAGCGGTGACTCGAGGAAAAAGGCTGGAGAGATATGATCGATTAAAATTGGCAGAACGAGGCTGTGATCTGGTGCCGAGCTCTCGTGTAGTGGAATTGGGCTCCGATATTACTGACGATCAGATTTCCAACATACGTCTGGGCAGTGCCACGCAGAGTTGATGCACGAGATGTTCTCAGCACGGCGGTTGATGAAGTCGACGACATTGGTGGGCATGTATGTCAACCGCTAGCTCCCTGCCAGGCTTATCCGTATTTGAGGGCCCGTCGAAAACGGTGCGGATCAGAAACGAGACACTTCTTCCAACCTTCTCGAAGCCAGAGCCCTGTGAATTAGTGTCTGAGCCGTTGGATTCGGGGATTGGTTCAGGGCAGGCGCATGTGGCAACACCCCTGAAATTCTAGCTAGCCTGTTCCATATAGCTAGAGGCCACCGGCGCGCTGTTCTGAGTTAGACCATCCAATTCAATTGGGTTGATCGATTTGATGGTTCTCGATATTTGAGCGAGCGACATTTCGCGATGGGTAGACTGTGGGAACCCCATTCGTTTGAAGCTTGTCACGTCGTGCCGTACCGAGCTGGTTCGGCATGCCGCTCAAGCAACCGGCGCGGCGGTTGCACTATCATCGCCGTACGTGTGCCGACAAAGACAACACGTAGGGTCGGGGTAAGGATGATACATCATTGTGGACTGATCCCATCGGAGCGAAATGACGCCTCGCCTAAGTCGGCAAGTCAGGGTTTGGTTGTGTGGAGCTCTTTTAACGTTCCTCTTCTGCAACACAACTGGTCCAGGGAGCTGTCGACCACTCCAAACAGCGAGTGCTGTGCCAATGTTCCTCATTGGAGAATGGAGATGTACCCCGAGAGGCAAAAAATGGCGATTGCAAGAAATCGAGAGCTTGGATGCTGAAGCTCTTGCTCCCCGGGACCGTTGGAAGAGTGAGCTGGTTACGGAAAGCTAGTTGGGCGTTTCCACGTGGAAGACAAGGAGATGCCAACCAGCGACCGGCGCGGTGTGGCACGCAGTTTGCCCATTTGGGACTCTTTCTGATACTTGTACTATGCAGTAAGCAGCGAAACCACAGCTCACCTCAATGATGGTATGGAACACGAGCCAAGGTGACAAGGTCGTCATGTAGGCAGTGCGTGAGGCGCAGCGTAGGAGGACGGCAGAGAGAGAGAGAGAAGGAGTTGCAAAGATGGAAGGCTGCCTCATCTCTGTGTCCCACACCCACTTGTTCGATTTGGCAGTCGTTCCTCACGGGCCAAGTCGCCGCCAATGGCCACTTGTGTTCGCGGCCTGCTCGGCGAGTGGAGGTCGATGATGTGTGTCGGCGTAGCTTCAGGTAAGGTGTCTGGAGTATGGTAAAGCACGATTGGTGTGCTACCTGCCAGCTCTAACAGAACTGGGGCCAGTATTGGCGATCCAGCAATGTACACAGTACGGTGCGGTCCAATTACCGTAGAGACGGTACCGAGCAAGCCTGAAGAAGACCTGGTCGTCGACACTTGTCCTCTGGCCGAATGTCGACTGCTGTTCACATGTGTGCAGCCGGAGACGTTGTTCCCACTCCCAAACAAGAATGCCTTCGTAGTGTCCAAGTGTGTGTGTGACAGAGGCGCATACGGCGCCCTCCCTGGCGAGTGATGGAGGTCGACACACGGCTGGGACACGCTGTGCCGCTTGTAGTTGCAGTACCCGATACCTTGGACTTTTGAGGGGGACGTGAGTGACGGGTTCGTGCCGGAGAGACGAGGTGAACCGGAACAGGAGGGCCCTGCTGATAGGGAAGACCCAGGCAGCCGGCGACGGCGGCGAGGAGCCTATATGCAACAGAGCGTGGCTATGTCCAGGGGTTCCCTCCCGAGGTGAAAGTCATCGGAGAGTGGACGCGTCGTGCTCATTAGAGCGTGGCCGTCCGCTGTAATGGGACATACGAAGAGCGAGATGCTTCGGTTTAAGCCCTGCTCTGCAAGCCAGTAGCATGGCCATTATGCCATTGTTGGGGGCCAACGAGTGAATTCCCATATCTTTGTGTTTGCCAGGCCCCTTGGCGGATGCCTGCTTATGATTCATGACCGAATACAGATACACAGACAAGCCGCCGGGTTTGAAGTCTGGTTGTCAGGACCGCGAAGAGTCCCGTCCTGCAATGATACCAACACGAGACGGCCTAGCGGTATGACGGGTGGACTTTTCAGAAGCACATTCCGTTCTTTAGCATCGAATCTTGCCCCGTTTTTTCTAGCTCAAGCGACAACGGCAAGAGTTTCTTGGCGCGCTGATGCGGCTTCGGCGGCCACGCTTGCTGCCCTCTCCGAATGTGCGCTTGCATCTCTAGTAGCAGTCCCATCAGCACACATGGCAGTCGGGACATCCAAGCTGTAAGGTTACCTAGCAGGAGAGGAGAGAAATTGGCTGGACGCAGGTCAGACTGCTCAGGCACGGGCGCAGTCTCCGGGCACAGCACTGACGTTGTCCCAAGAGGACTAAGGTAAGGCAAGATGAGCCAACAGACACGCTTCGGTACCTCGGGACCGCTGCTGCAGCAAGACAAGAAATTGACTTGACACGGCAGCTGACAATTCAACATGTTTCGTGGTGCCCCAGGTTAGGTCTACTCGAGAGCATCCAAGAGAAAAACGGAAGGCTCTGCAATGGCGAGGCGAGCAATTGAATTGTTCCGGTAAAGGGGGAAGAGAACAATCCATCCAGGCAGCACTGATTCATCATCATGTATGCAAGCTATGGCCATAGACAGAGCTGATTGACCGCATACATTACATTCAACGAGCAGTTGAAAGCAAGTTGGAACAAGGCAGCTGGGTTACTTACCGCATGTACCGAATACATGTCTGGATATTCATCCAAGCAGCACCGAGGCCGCCAACCTCGTTTGGTAGAGCTCCTGATCCCCTGTTTAGCTTACTGCTTTCAGTCAGTCTTGGTTTACTTTCCTCGGTTCACTTATTGAGAGAGACCGAAAGAGAGATTGACGCCCAACTGGCCGCCATGGCATTTTCCTGTTCAGCTTCAGGCCTCAGAGAAATGAAGGAGACAGATAAACAGCGGGCAATTATTCAGCTTCCCGGTCGCAGTTGCGTCCGAATACCCACCGGCCAGCCTCATGTCAAGTATCTTTCTACCTACCCAAACCCACGTTTCCTACTGTGTGCACGCGTTGCCGTCTGCCAATTGTTTCAATGAAAGAGACCCCCATTGTACTTTGCCTGGGCTCTAACGTCAGAGGTAGGTGTCTTGTCTATGTTACTGGTGCATTTAGAGGTCCCCTGTCCACTGCGCCGACCAGACAGCAAAGGTGCTCACTCACTGAGTGGATGGACGTTGAGAGAGTTGCAATTCCCAGTTCCAGGGCGCGCGCGCGTGGCAGGGAAGCGGGACGTCCCTGTAGGTTCGTAGTTAAGTACCTATCTTGGGTGGTTGTTACCTTAGTCCCGGGAGGTGAGGTACCTAGAGGTACACTCTCGGTTGGCTGGTCCTAAAAATGACGGCGGCGACTCCCACCACCAGCTCCTCCATAGGACCACCTGCACCACAGAGACCAACGTAAGGAAGGCGGCACCCGGACACGGTACGCTAAAAGTGTACAGCGGATTCTATGAGGTGCCCGGTAGGCGCAGAGGTACCTTGACCTGACCGACGGAGCAGGTTCCCACGTCCCACGCCAACACCAATGCCAATTTTCTTCTCCTGTGTCGACTTCTTGTTCTCTGCTCTCCCATCACCTTTCCCTCTCTTTTCGCTTCCTCCTCCTTCCCCCCTACCGATCCTCCCACCTCTTCCCCGAGCTGCGAGGAAAAAAGGTACGACGACACGAGGACTGGTCAATTCTGTCCTCGTCTCCTTTTCTCCGTTGCTTGCTTGTAGCCGCAACTTCCGCCTCACTTTTGCTGCTGCAGCTTGCTTTGCTCGGCACCTCTCCTGAAGCAAGCTTGCCGGGAACCACTTCCGTCCCCTCCCCGAACATCCGTCGTTTGTTCGAGTCGTAACGCTGCAGCAACCCTCTCTGCCAGTCGGTCAGCAGCTGTTCGAACCCATCGACGAGTCTTCCTCCAGACATCAACAGACCCATTATTCTTATTGTGCTGCTTTCACCGGTAGCGCTACTGTCGCCAATCGCCCAAAATGTCTGGCCCTCCCGCTGGCAACCAGCTCAACATTGATCGCTATGTTGTGATCCACGTCGCGACCACCTGCGATGAGCATGGTGTCTACGTCACCAAGGACTCTGCCGAGGTCATTGAGCTGGGATGGATTCTGCTTGACGCAAAGTCTCTCGAGGAGGTGAGCTTCTTCTGCCTGCCCCGTCTTGTCTCAAGAAGGCCTCCACCTTCACCCGCTGCCACCGTCACTGAATCTTTGACTAACCCTCAATGTCTTCCAGATCACCCGCGAGAGCGTTCTTGTCAAACCCATCAACACTCCGATTACACCGTTGTGCAGTAAGTAGTTGCACGAGGCTTGAGACCTTATCTTATTTCCGTCACGCCATACAACGCCCCGTTCCTGCAGCGGTGACGACAAGTTGAAAATTCTCCAGCTAACATTTGCGTCTTTAGCGAGCTTGACGACCCTCACCTGGGAACATGTGCGCAACGCGGGAACCTTCCGAGACGCCATCAACCGATTTGACACGTTTGCGAACGAGCACTTGACCTCCCAAAATCTCGATTTCGTCTTCGTCACCCTCGACGCCTGGGATCTTCGCGTCCAGTTGCCCCGAGAAGCCCGAGACAAGGCCGTCGTTCTGCCTCCATACCTCCAGCACTCCCGCACTTTTGATCTGCGGACTGAGTACCAGCGATGGCAGCAACACCACCCCGAATCGCTGCCCTTTGGGCCCTCGATGCTGTCCAATATCTGTGCCGCCTTGGAGGTGGAGCCGGTCCAGTCCAGTGCTCCAATCAAGCACAACTTGCCCTTCCACCTCCAGGCTCTGGCCCCTGCCTCTCCTCGCCGTGCCATGGAGGAGGCCGTCACCTTGGCCCGCGTCCTTCGAGGCTTGATTCGCAAGTCGCAGCCTTCCCACGAGCACCCCGATGTCCTGACTCGGCCCATGGACGCGCGCGCCGACGTGCGTGCTTTCCTGTCTGAGCGCAGCAAGGTCCTCCACATGTCTGGTCTTCCTCATGATACTACTCAATCCGAGCTCGAGAGCTGGTTCACCCAGTTTGGCGGTCGTCCTATTGCGTTCTGGACCCTTCGCACCCCTGAGCAGCACAAGCCTACCGGCAGTGGTTTCGCCGTCTTCTCTTCCCACGAGGAGGTGAGTTCAATTATTCATTTTTGCGCATGACAAATCGAAGGATCGCAATTGCGCATTCACATTGTCGCCAATTGGGCTTTTCTGAGCAGAAGACAACGCTCCCCAGCAGCCGAGTATTTTTGATCAATGCTGACTTCTGACCAGGCCGCTGAGAGTCTGTGCATGAACGGTCGCGCTCTTAACGAGAAGGCGATCGAAGTGTCACCGTCTTCCAGCCGTGTTTTGGACCGCGCCGCTGAGATCCTGACGCCCTTCCCGCCTAGCAAGAACCGCCCCCGCCCCGGCGACTGGACCTGCCCCTCGTGTGGCTTCTCCAACTTCCAGCGACGCACTGCTTGCTTCCGCTGCTCCTTCCCCGCCGTCAGCGCTGGTCCTACCGGCGACATGGGCTACGGCTACGGCTACGGACCACCGGCCATGATGCCTCCTCCCCAGCACCACCATGGACACATGGGTCACGGCGGCGGTCGCATGGGCGGCAGCGGTGTCGTCCCCTTCCGTGCTGGTGATTGGAAGTGCGGCAACGAAGTTTGCGGATATCACAACTTTGCTAAGAACGTTTGCTGTCTGCGTTGCGGTGCCAGCCGTGCTGGTGCCGCTGTTGTCGCCGATTCTGGTGGTTACCCCTCCCCCATGGATCCCCCTTCCAACTACAGCATGAGCCAGGGCTCCATGAGCGGCACTCCTGGACCCGGACCGTTTGCTTCGGCCGGCGGTGGTTTTGCTTCTGGTGGCGGCTACGGTGGTCAGCACTTTGGCGGCCCCCCCAGCACTTTTGCCCTTCCCTCAGGCATTGGTGGCGGCGCCGCTCCCTACCCCTCTCTCAACACTCACTTTGGACCGGCTCCTGGCTCTCACTCTGCCGGCCCTTTCGATAGCCGGGCCGCGGAGGCGGCTTTCCAGTCCGCTTCCAATGGCCCTGCGTCTGCCGGCCCCTCGAACAACTTCTACTCTCAGAACGAGAACGATCCGTTTGCGTTCCTCTCCAGCGGAATTGGAGGGCTTTCCGTGAGCGGCGGAGACGCCCGTCAGAACGGAGGAGCCGCGCCGCCGAGCAAGTCTCCTGCGTAAACTACACAACTGGATTTTGATAATCGAGATGAGCCAAAGTTTGCTACATTAGCTGGCTTGGAACGTTTTCAGCATGTGACTTACTGATGCGGATTACGCTTCGGAAACAAGACGAACATAGATCATTTGTCCTTATGGCAATCAATCACCTTCTGGATTTCAACCTGCGTTATTGGACGGGGGCGGGCAGGCATCGGATTTGGAAGATTAGGACGGGGTGTTGGTTGTCGGTATACCAAGGGACGTGGGAAAAAAGTTTGCAAAGGCTGGAAAGACAAAAAGAGTGTTACACTACCGGACGGGCTGTTGGAACTGCTTTCTCGCTGACAAGCGTCAGAAGCTATGGATTGTTTTACGGCCTCACCTTGATGGACGTTGCGGTTGTTGCTCGGTCGGATTTTGGGCGGTCCAAAGGGAGTGCATAGCGATGGGAGTAAGTAGTAAAAGGTATACCTGTCTGGCCTTCATCGTGTGCGAAGAAGTTGTCTATTTCCAATCATTTTCGTTTTCCTCTTTATCCGTCGTCTCTCCCTCTCTAAGTACAGTTGTCGTTTGAATTGTTATATTTATGCTGTCTTTCCGCAACATTCTTTCTTTTTTCCGAAAACAAAAACAAAACCACAAAATTCTCCATCTTGCTCATCACTCTCCTCCCTCTCTCAACTCCCTCTTTCTCCTTGGAAAAAAAGATTGGTTTGGCTTGGCATTTCAAACATCACACCCCTTCCTTCCGCATTCGACATGGTTTTCTCTATACGGGTTGGATGGGCGGCAGCGTTGTGGGAGTCGGGGAGTGAAACAGGGTCCAGGGCAGGTTGGCTGGCTTTTGGCTTATATTCCTCTTTTTTATTCTTTCCTTTGCCATTTTTTCTCTCAAATAATTATCAGAGTCTCCGTCGGCATCTCTTTTCGAAATGCAAATAAAAGCTTCTTCCCAGCATACTTGAGGTTATGTTCCTTCCTTTGGAGCCCCCGTTTCCCTCAGTGAGTGTATGTATGTATGTATGTGTCTGTATTCGTCTCAGGGGAGGTTATTGGTGGCAGTGACGGTGACGGTTGTTGCGCGTGCATTCGCCGGATGACGGGGTTGCTATTGTTTGTTTGTGTATGTATGTATGCATTGACTGCATTCTGAGGTTTTCAACATTCTGACTACTGCCCTGGCGCTCTAATGCTTGGACTCGTCGATAGTCCCGAACCCCTGCGTGTGACGTATCTGTTTGTTCGTTCTTTTGTCCAACCATCACCGTGATTGGAACTGAGATGTCTGCCCCTGGAAATGAGTGTTCCTGGCATGTATGGTTTGGCAATAGGTATGGGCCCTGAGTCTGCTGTTCCAACAATGTCCTTCATTTGTCACAGGGGAGTTGCGTCGCCTTCTGATCGTAGGTTCCCACGAGGTATAACCTTTGCGCCAAGTTGGGGCCACACGTGTCACGGACACAGGTTTGAAGTGAGAAACAATGCAGCTGATTGGGAATCTGAATACATCTCCGTAGACGCCGGAACAAAAATGGAACCCTGGATTTATCACCGTTTTGAACCCCCTCCCAATGTGATTCTCGGCCAAATGGTTGCTATTACGCTTAAGTATGTTTGAGACTCCACCTTGCCTATCGGTCGATCTCGTCGAGAGGCAGGTCGCCGTCGTCCTTGCCGACGATGGAGTCGGCGACCTTCCAGATCTGGAGCAGGTTGTCCTCTGCGGCACTGCAGACGAGCCAGGGCTCGTTGGGGTTCCAGCTGAAGTCTGCGAGGTGGTTGGTGTGACCACCGTGCATGAACAGGCTGCGATCATGTTAGCTATTAGATTATGAGTAGGCAGTGAGAGAACATACAGCTCCGGGGGCCCATCCTCCTGGTCGTCCGGCATCTGCTCCTCTCCGACGCGGGACAGATCCCAGAAGATGACACGTCTGTCGTAGCTACCGGAGCCGAGGATACCGGCCTCTTGAGGGTGCCATGAGAGCGAAGTGACCGCATCGTTGTGACCCTCCAGGGTGTGAACCTTCTCCTTGACATTGCGCAAATCCCAGATGCCCAAGGTCTTGTCAGCCGAGGCCGTCGCGACGAGGACTTCTGACGTGGGGTTGAAGGCGAGGGCGTTGATCGCATCCAGGTGACCGCGCTTAGCGACCACGGCAGCACGATCCGTCTGCTTCTGGCGCACGTCGATAATTTGCATCGTCAAGTCGTCCGAGACGGTTCCGATGAAGTTCTTGGCAATCGGGTGGTATTGGACATCGTTGACGATCTGGGTGTGGTGTGTGTATCTGCTCTGGGGCTTCAAAGTGTGGCTACCGCTTTGCAGCTGTTTGAGGTCCCTATGAGTTCTTCATTAGTCTCATTCACGTATCATGGCGAAAGCAGCGACATACCAAAGGCAAACGGTGGTGTCCTCACTACCAGAAGCCAGGCAGCCCGTTTCATGAGGGTTCCAGCTCAGGCCAAATCCTTCCTGCTTATGGCCAATGAGTTCGACCTGAGCGTTGACCTTGCCGTCAGGCTGCAGGCTGTGCTTCGTGCGATCAAAAACCAAGACCTTGCCATCGACACAGAGTGTCGCAATGATGTCGGGGTTCTGAGGCTGGTAGCGCGCCTTGTTGATCTCGCCAGGGTGATCAATCTTTTGCACGATGCTGAACTCAACTGCCGAAGACTCTCCATTCGACGACTTTGCATGCCCTCCAATCTCACCGGTCTCCTCATTGTAGTCGGCCGGGTTCGGGGTTGCGGACTTGGGGATCTTGACTTCGGCGATCTGGACGTGGTTGGGCAGTCCTTCGGATGTGTGGGTGCCGAGAAGCAGTCTGTGGATGCGGTAGTTCTTGTCTTCAGGCTCCTTCACATCGGGGAACCATTGTGTCGTGAGGGTAGGCCACTCAAGGGCGGTGCTGCACACAGTGTCAGCTGGGGTAAATCGGAAGTCGGAAGGCTCTTCGTACCTGAGAATCATGTCGTAGAGAAAGGGGCTGTTCTTCTTCCAGGTCTTGTATTCTGAGGACGTCGTCAGCGATATTTCGAAGAACATGTTCAATGAAATGCTTACCCTCATTGATGAGACGCTGCTCCTGGTCCTCATCCTCCTCACGATCCATTTCGACTGGTCAAGGGTCAGAAGCTGATGCGCTCCAAGCTGGTTTGCGAAGCTTACCGTCATGGTCGTCAACGACTTGAGCGGGCGCCATTGTGTATGCGTTCGTGAATGAAAAGATCGATCTCCTCAGCTAGGTAGTCAATGGATTCCTCGGTTGTTGCGTGCGCGGGGATTGCGATTGTGCTGAGATAACCGGGCGTCAGGTCGGAAAGTTCTTCGCCAGCGTAAACGATGGTGGAGGAGGTTGACGCGAGATGGCCCGGGGAAGCAACGCGCAGCGCGTAGATTGAATTTTAGTTGCAGCAGCAGGAGCAGGCCGGCCCGCGTAAGGGACGGACAGGCGCGCCCCGGCGCACCTGAAGGCTCGAGCTGTGACGCCTGCCACGCTAAATCGTAAGCGGCATGGCGGGAGCCAGAAGCATTCTCCCCACATTTTGTGCTCCGAACTGAGGCTGCCCAGCCTCACCCTGGGAGGTCCATCCGCCACAGCTGGCGGGGTCCTGAGGTGTGGCTCAGGCAAAAAAGCGTTAAGGCCTAAAGGTGTCCTGTAGAGTCATACCGGTTCAGGGCCACATGCAGTGATGACTTGATGGCGAAACCCCTGTGGCCACTAGTGCTACAGTGTTGTCCTGTGAGGTGAGGTGGTTATCCCACCTGGCCCCGCCACCGCCCGACAGCTGGGCACGGAAGTTCCTGCATCATCCACCAATCCATATCGATTGCGCCCATATCAACCTGGAGGCGTCAGGTCCATTCGTCCAGCTTCACCTACCTCACCTTCACCTGCGCAACCCGACTTTCCCATCCCTTCCGCCCTCACACAGCTCGACAGCCGAGTTCCCTGTTCACCTGGCAGAATCGCAAACGCCTCGGTCTTACAATAGCCAGGAGTTTAATATTCTTTCACTTGTTCATTTTTCTTTTCCTGTTCCAAAGTCGCAACTAGCTTGCGACTGATTCACTTGGACTCCTGCGTCAGGACTCCCCTCGTGTCTGGAGAGAAAACATCGGTCGCTTTCAGCGCTGAGACGGATAGAGACTGCGGCATTGTCTCTGCGAATTATTTTCATCAATCAAAACTTCATCAACTTCATCATCACTAGCCGCGCTTAACTCAAGCGCGCACATCATCGCCACATCATGGGGTTGGTCCTACTTCTCGTCCTGCTCTGGCGCATTAGCTCAGCTCTGCTCACCACCTTGTGTACAGTGTTCCCAAGTTCTTCAGATGGCTCTCGGAGCGTTATCCGGCCATCTCTCAGCTAATTGCTGAGAATCGCATTCCCGAGTTCGACTGTCTTTACGTCCGTCTACCCCACCACCTTGCCATCGTCGAGTACGATTAGCTGACAATTTCGGTAGCTGGATATGAACGGAATCATCCACAATTGCACGCACAAGGACACGGGCGAGGATACCACCTTCCGACTAAGCGAGGAGGAGATGTTCATACGCATCTTTAACTACATTGAGCACTTGTTTGGGAAGATTAAGCCGAAGCAGCTCTTCTTCATGGCTATTGACGGTGTCGCACCGAGAGCCAAGATGAACCAGCAGCGCGCCCGTCGTTTCCGAACCGCTCTCGACGCCGAGAAAGCCCGTGACAAGGCTATCAGCGAGGGTGTTGAGATGCCCAAGGAGCCTCCCTTCGACAGCAACTGCATTACCCCCGGCACCGAATTCATGGCGAAGCTTACCCAACAACTCAAGTATTTTGTCAACAAGAAGGTCTCCGAAGACGCCGACTGGCAGGGCTGTGAGATCGTTCTGTCTGGTCACGAGGTGCCCGGTGAGGGAGAGCACAAGATCATGGAGTACATCAGAAACGCCAAGGCGCAGCCTGAATATGACCCCAACGTCCGTCACTGCTTGTACGGACTCGATGCCGACCTCATCATGTTGGGTCTTCTCAGCCACGACCCTCACTTTTGTCTTCTTCGAGAGGAGGTCACTTTCGGCCGCCACAACAAAAACAAGGCCAGAGAACTGGAGCACCAGAACTTTTACTTGATGCACCTCTGCATAGTCCGCGAGTATCTCGAGTTGGAGTTCCAGGAGCTTCAAGAACCTGGGAAACTTGGCTTTCCCTTCGACTTGGAGCGAGTCATCGACGATTTCATTCTCATGGCTTTCTTCGTCGGAAACGATTTCCTTCCCAATCTTCCACGTCTGCATATCAACGAAGGTGCACTCGCTGCCATGTTCCGTATCTACAAGGATATTCTCCCCAAGGGAGATGGCTATATCAACGAAGGAGGTATCATTAACCTTCCGCGTCTTCAAAAGCTTTTGGAGGAACTTGGAAAGGACGAGATTGAGTCTTTCGAGAACGATGCTAGCAACGAGAAGTGGTTCCAGTCCAAGAGGTCCGCCGAACCGAACGGCGTCGACAACAAGAAGTCCAAGGCCAAGGGTCTTGTGCTGACGTCTTCTCAGAGAGACTTGTGGAAGCAAAAGATTCGTCCCTATGTCAACAAACCATCATCTGAGCCGCTTGATCTGGGTACCAGTTTGAACGCTGCGGACCGCAAGTTTGTCCAAGATCTTGCTGATACCCTTCATATTGAGTGGAGCACCAAGGAGGACGATGATGGCCATCGTCACCTTCTTTTGTCTTTCCCCGAAGGTGCCGTTGAGAGCCTCAATGATGAAGAGGAAGAGGGAACACTGGCTCTCTACCGGGTTGTTCGAAACTACGACAAGGCTCTGGTTGTGGACATCACTCCGGAGGATGCCCAGCGTCACTACCAAGAACTCTACGACACCAAGTATCAAGCCTGGAAGACGAAGTACTACTTGGAGAAGTTCCCTGAATGGCCGCAGGAGTCTTACGACAAGGAGCTTGTCAAGCTTTGCGAAAACTACGTCCAGGGTCTCCAATGGGTCTTGCACTACTACTATCACGGAATCGCCTCATGGCCCTGGTTTTACCAATACCATTACTCCCCCTTGACTTCTGGTAAGTGAAAATCAAATCTGCCAAGAAAGAACAAGACTAAGTATCAATATAGATGTTGTGAAGGGTCTCGGAGCGGACCTGAAGTTCACCCTGGGTCAACCGTTCAGACCATACGAGCAGCTGATGGGTGTCTTGCCTGACCGAAGCAAGACTATCGTTCCTGAAGTCTACTGGGATCTCATGACGAATCCCAACTCCCCCATCTATGACTTCTACCCCCGAGACTTTGAGCTCGACATGAACGGAAAGAAGATGGAATGGGAAGCCATTGTGAAAATTCCCTTCATCGACGAGAAGCGTCTTCTTAGTGCCATGGCGACAAAGAATGATCAACTCAGCCAGCAGGAGAAGTCGAGAAACGGCTTCGGTGTTGCTCTCAAGTTCACGTATAACCCCGAGGTTGCGTACACCTACCCGTCATCTCTTGTTGGCGTGTTCCCTGAGATCAGCCCCTGCCATTGCATCGAGAACATTTTTGAACTGCCGAACACCGAAGGATTGAACTTCCGCAAGGGTCTTGTTGAGGGCGCCAAAATCAACATCGATGCCCTGGCAGGATTCCCTACGCTGCACAACCTCCCCTACACAGCGATGTTAGTTGAGCACTACGGTGTCAATGTTTTCCAAGCAGACAGCAAGAACCCCAGCATGATCATTACCCTCACTGATTCAGAAATGAGAACGAAGGCTGAAGTGGCCAAGGCCAAGCTTGGAAAGCGTTGCTTCGTTGGTTATCCTTTCTTGCAGGAAGCGAAGATCGTGAAGGTCTCCGACGAGCTCTTCGACTATGAGCTTGATGGACGCGATGGTTCCGTGATTACACGTCATCACGGCGATAGGGAGATCAGGGAATGGTCCAAAGAAGCCGCGTATATCGAGAATTGGCACGCAAAACGTCTCGGGTTCACCATTGGCACCGTCGAGTCCCTTGTCCAAGTTCACATGCTCAAGGGCTTGATCAAGACCGAGGAGGGTGCTCTGATCAAGGAGTACGCTGAGAATCCCAGCATGAGGAGCATCTACGCGTCCCAGACAATTGTCGACGAGGTCGTAAACGAGGATGAACGTTTCATTGAGAAGGCTGCCGTCCCCATTGAAGAAGAGTACCCAGTCGGTACTCAGGCTTTCTTCTTGGGCGAATTCCAATACGGACGAGCTCTCGAGGTCACTGGGCATGCTAACAACAAGGCGAACATCAGAGTCTTGGCCCTCAAGAACAAAGAGCCAGACTTCGCAAAGCCGATCATTCAAGATATGAAGCGCCAGAACCGGTACACTCCATCGTATGCCGTTGCCAAGATGCTGAATCTTCATCCCTTGATTCTGAGCAAAATCTTGTCATCCTATCAGATCAACACGGTTGGCGGTCTCAGAGTCAACCTGGGACTTAACCTCAAGTTCGATGCGAAGAAGCAGAAGGTCTTGGGCTACTCCCAGAAATCAGACTCTGGATGGGAGTTTAGTAACGCTGCCATTGAACTTTTGGCCAGATACATTGCTGCTTTCCCCGACTTCTTCGCAGCCATCCAGCAGAACCCCCAGTCAAGCGATGTCAGCGACACTGATCTCTGGAAGGATCCCAAGGTTGCCGCTGCGCGCGTGAAGGAGATTGGTGCCTGGTTGAAGTCAGCTCAGACGAGCAAGTTTGAGAGGGTTCCTTTGGATGCCGAGCAACTGGATTCTGTCGTGGTGATGCGTCTTGCTGAGGAGGGTGCGAACGTTTTCACCAACTCCCATGAGGTTGAGGTGAAGAACATGAAGGGCGTCCCGCGGTCAGCCATCATGAAGCCCAGCGACGCCGAGCTCTTCCTGAGCAATCAGAGATTTGCGCTCGGCGACCGCGTCAGCTTTCTGTCCTCTTCTGGCAAGGTGCCCTTGGGAAGTCGCGGAACAGTCGTTGGCTTGAGCCGCACCGCCAATCATGTACTCCTTGATGTCGTCTGGGATTTGACTTTCATGAGCGGTACGACACTGGGTGACAGATGCCCGCCTTTCCGCGGTATGACTGTCTACTCTTCGTCAGTACTCAACACTACACACAAGCAAGTTGTTTCTGGTTCAAAGGCCGGAAACCTGCGCCGGCCGGCACCTCCTGTATCTTCATCGCTCACCACTGGTGCAGCTGGTGTTGTTCAGTACAAGGATGCCCCTGCTCCTGGGCCCCTCGCAGGTGGTTGGCGCGGTGCTGTTAATGGCAGCCCCGGCCACTCTGGTCGCGGTCGCGGCGGTGCGCCCAACTTGCTGCACAGCAACCTGGTCTACCGTCCTGCCAATGGTGCGGGAGAGGGTCATGAAGTCAATGGTCATGGTCATCGCGGTGGAGGAAACCCGAACGGCAGAGGCCGCGGCCGTGGACGTGGTGGACCTGTCCAACACCCTGGACACTCAGGACTCCATGAGACGCCGCAGCAACCGATGTATTCCAACGTCCCCCCACCTCCTGCCAACCTTGATGCTAGAGGCAGAGGACGCGGACGTGGACGTGGCGGAAGGGGTAGGGGCGGTCCTCGCAGCCGTGGTGGCAATGGATCCGGAGCGCCGGAATCTTAGGACGTCCATCGAATCTCCCGAGACAAGTCCCGCTGCCGAAAACGCCGGCCCAAGGCGACATCATTTTCTGATAGAAGGTGTTGGTCTCTAAAAGAAGGCACATGGATAGAACGAAGACAGGCATGATACGGCGTATAGGCATAAAAGGTGATGTCCTCCAGCGACGGTTGGTTACCTCCAAGTTGCCGAGATGTTGGCTGTAGCGATGTGGAAGAGGGTAGCATTATGTACAACAGCCAGTTCACAAGATCAATGCATCCTGCAACATTGTGTTGCGACCAACACTATTGTCACGTCATGATAAATGAACTTAAGACAGGCACGATTTGATGAGTGAAAAGGAAAAAACCATTTAGAATACGTGATATCTGCAGCCGCTCCTCTTATGGCTTCTTCTCCTTGACCTTCAGAGCAGGAAGCTTGAAAGCCTTGCTAACACCACCCTTGAGCGCCTTCCAGTATCCGAGGTCCTGGTTTTGGTTCCACGTCAAGATGCCGACCCAGGGTTGAACGTTGTAGTGAAGCTTCAAAACGACCTTGTCGGCTTCGGCGATCTTGCCCGAGGGGTGGGTGATTTGGTACTTGGGCTTCTGGTTCTTGATCTTGAGCTTGCCACTGTACGTTTGTTAGCATGCGCTCTCTGGTTGAAGTAGCTCCGAAGCAGTGTACTTACCGGCTGGGGTCGATGCTCTTGCCCTCGGCGCTCTTCTTCAGCTTGCGCATGGCAGCAGGGCCAATGTTGGCGAGGTGGTCGGAGCTAGGGGCGGTGATGATCTGGTCCCAAATGACGGCCTGGTTGGTCACGTTGACGCCGGGGATGGCGTTCTTCTTAGAGTTGTCGGGCCATTCCGCAGTCACGTAGACGAAGACCTGCTTGGTGTTCCAGGTGAAGAGGTCCGAGAGGTCGGCGTCGAGGGAGAACTTGATGATGGCGTACTCCTCCTTCTTACTGCTGTAGTAATGGGGGCGGCCCTTGACGACCTGGACGTTCGTGGTCTTGATCTCGCCGGAAGAGGGCGCGCGCGGGGTGATGAGGTCCGTCGCGGCGATGAAGGCGGCGACGAAGAAGGCTACTGTTGTGAAGAAGCCAAATGCGTTCTGGGCGCGGGTTATGGTGTTGTACATTTTGGGAGGGATCGGGGCCGGCTGGGGCGCGGCGATCGTAGGGAAGGGCGGGCTGGTGTTTAGCTGTGTTGCATGAAGGAGAAGAGTGTGAGATTTGGTTTTGCCCGCAACTACAAACTCCTTCTTAGGCCACGTTTTGCGGAAGCTTCAGCCTTGCGGAGACATGTGGCTTCAGCGGGTGTGGTCTGCGCCAGGGACCTATTGGCTGCAAAGCTATCAGCGCAAGGTTGAAGACCTGAGCTAATGGAAGTGACCTGTAAGCTTGGGTACGTACCGAGGTGGAAAGGTAAGAGCCGAACCGGTGGTGCGAACTGTGGATCCTAGTTCTCCAGTGGATCCTTGCCGGCACCCGGGGAAGCTCGATGCCAGCAGATGTCTCGTTCGAATGTGAGTTGAAGGTTGGTCTTGACATTCTTGAGCGAGCAAGTGTTGCGTAGAATGCAAGGCTTGTCAGCGACGCACCTTTTTTTCTTTCTCGCAAAAGGACTCCTGCCATTTTTGCTTCGTCACTTTGAGGTGATCGTGTCAAGAGAAGAAGGGCTGAAGCAGATCCATTTGCAGGCTCCCTTGTCAATCCATCTGTCCATCCCCCACGCATCTCATTTGACTTCTCCAAGAGGCTTTTCTTTCGTTTGGCCCTTTCCCCTCTCTTCTCGAGTGTGGGCTGCCGTGAAAGAATCAGACGCTCAACTACATCTCAAGAGATTCGCATGACTTCCTGTTTGACCCTCTCATCTAGTCTTCTGCTTCTATCCTGCCCATTCTGCTGCAACTAGCTGCCTTTGCACATCAAGCATGTTTTCACATCTTGGACAATCCACTTCGACTAGCAGCAGCCTTCACTCTCACCTCCCAAATGCCACACTTCTGGCAACAACCTACCGTGGCATCTGTAGAAAAGGCAACCATGGCCCAGGCAAGAGACCGTGGCAGAGAAGTCAGTCTGAAAACGATCGTTCATATTGTTGCCGGTCATCTAATCTCATGCCTTCGAAGCCAAGCGACTAGAATGAGAGAAGGAGTGGGTGGACTGTCTGCAAGTGGCAAGTGCCTTCGCAGCGGGTGACGCGCCCGACGCTCTGGTTTAATTGAGTGGAACCTGCCAAACCTGCCCGTTATCGCCAGCACAGGCCTGCTACAAGGCTACCTGCCTACCAATCCGCTGTAGCCAGCGCGTGTCAGCGGACCCCTCGCCCTGTTAGCTGTACATGTGGCACCCTTCCACCTCAAAATTTCGACCCGAGTTGCAAGGCAAACCGCACCTTTTTGTCTGCGCAGACCCCACTACTAACCGACTTTCGTGAATGAAGAAGGAGCACAGAACGACACCGCCTGCCGACCACGCACCTTCTTATCCCAATACCTCGCCGCATTCCTGCGATGAAACGTCTCAAAAGTACGCAGTTCCTCACTCCTTGTCGTCCACGCCAACCTCAAATGCCCGCTCGCATTCCTTACCAGTTACCGGCACGAGACTGACCTTCCCCAGAGCCCTAGAGGAGCTAGGTCGAGAAAAGCCCGCGCATGAGGCAGAGGAAGAGAACGGATCCCAAGGCGGAGGCAAGACGTGCGGCAAGGACGGTGTCGCCGGGTCCACTATCAGGCGGAGAGCTGTGAGGAGGAACACCATCACGTATGCGTTTGCGCCAGACAGGTTCTCCGGGTTCACCACTGACAAACGGGTTGCAGAGCCGAGCAGCTACGAGAACGATACCGAGATCCCGAGAACCATTCGTTCCCTGTATACGGGTACACTACGACTTCATGCGCCGCCATAGACCATGTCACTAACCATGGCTCTTGTAGGAATCCAAAGGACGGAGTTCCCATTTCAGACCCAATGGTAAGGTCCACGGGCGGAAGAAAGACGAGCCTAGCTAATGCTAGGATAGAGTGCGAAGAGCAACAGATTGAAGGGGCTCTTAAGTGGTTCTTTTGCCCCTAAGAAAACCTTCGACCCGGGAACTGGGGGTCAGAACAAGAGGCCAAGCTACTCTACGACGACAAACAACGAACCCCCTAGGTCTGCGAAGCGCCAGAAGACGAAAGATGAACCCTCATCCGCCGCCGCGTACACACACTCAACGTTCGCTCCTCCTCCTTCTCCATCGCCAGCCCGGTCGATCAGGTCCTCGTCGGCTGTAGATTTGACGAAACCTGACGTCGACGCTGCTAGCAACCGTTCGACTCAGCAGCCAGCTTTCCAGGTCGAAGAATACCGCACTGTGCAGAGGAACAATAGCGTTCCAAGGAAAAACACCCGAACACGGAAAAGGTCGGCCAACAAGTCGCCCGCCTCCAAGGTTCAACCGTTGGACATCGACGGCGAGGAGGACGAGATCTCACAGGATATGCCGGCAGTGAAGAAGCGAAATGTCGGCAAGATGGTACCTTTCAAGATGACACCTCTTAAGGGGTCACGGGATGCCTCAGAAGGAATTTCGGACAGCGACCTCCATAAAATCGACGAACTCGCCTCCGAAGCTGGTTCTGCCAAGAAGCGCCAGGTTTTCGACGTTGACCCTATTTCGGACGATGAGAAGCCGTCGCCGACGATGTCTGAAAGCCGCCTCGCCAAGGCCGACATGTCCCGTGTTGAATTCAAGAAGCAGAAGCCCGACGCGGTAATTTTCAAGCTGAAACGAGCTGTCTCTGGCAAACATATACTCGTCGTCGATGAGTTATCTCCTGAAGAACAGCCACACCTCCAGGTTCTAGATGACAAGAAACATCTTATCGCATGCAGACGCAACGGTAAACGGCATCTCAGTTTTCATTGGATTGACGTGAAATTGAATTTCTGTTCAAAGATTCGCTATACGGCAACCGCGACCCAGTTAGCAAGCATTTCCAGATGTGCATCTGAGGACGCTCCAGGCTTCCTAGTGTTGGAATTTGCCGCGAATAATGATGCCCTTCGATTTGGAAATTGGGTTGAGGAGACAGCTGGAGGACTGCGTAACATCAAACTATTGTGTGAACCAGAAGACAGGTGAGTTGAACTACACACTCTAGCCCAAGGTGCTTCACTAACACTAAGCTTAGCCAACACCTTCAGAAGGTCTTTGACAAGCAATGGGAAAACGCCGTGAAGTACAAACCAGCACCTTGGACTCCAAAGCCAGACGACATCAAATATCTTGAGTCGAAGCAAGCAAGCAAGGACGGCGAAATTCAGAAGTCTACCCCGCGAACCAGCTCTCGTCCAAATTCCGCTCACCAAGATGCATCATACCAACCCGGCAAGCCGCTCAGAAGTAGTATGAACACGGGCGATCCTGCGTCTACACCCAGCAAAACCCCAAGAACGTCTTCTTTCTTCACACTTGCTGGTGAGAAAGATGCCAAAGCCGAGCCCCGACGGACTCGAGACTTGACGCAAAGACAGACTAGAAATGCGGCTGCCCGACGTACAACTGAGCCAAAGCCAAGCATTTTGGCACCGCGGTCGCCTAGTCCAGTACTGTGGACGGAGGAAAATAAAGAATGGAAAAAGATTTGGGACGACGACAAGCCACTCCTTTACCCAGAATTCGGCAAACACAAAGCGACTGTCATCAGAGATGATATTTTCAGACTTGACGAGGGCCAATTCATGAACGACAATCTCATCTGGTTCTACATGAAGTATCTCCAGGTCAAACTCGAAAAGGAGAATAAGCAGACCCACGACAGGATATATTTCATGAACACCTACTTCTACCCGAAGCTCACAGAAAAGTCGGGCCGAGGGATCAACTATGAAGGCGTCAGATCATGGACGACGAAAGTCGATCTTTTCTCTTACGATTATATCGTCGTTCCCGTCAATGAACAAGCGCATTGGTACCTCGCCATCATTTGTCACCCGTCCAAACTTATCAAAGCCCAAGAGGTGCAGGAGGTTGATAAAGAACCGCCCCAGGTTGCACAGAAAGAGGCTTTAGTCTCTGCGGTCGGCGAACAGGTGGAGCATATGAGTTTAGACGATCCTGCGACTGAAAATCAGGACACGGTCGTGCTCGTTGAACCAAAAGCCTCGCCTGTCAAGTCGCAGTTGCCCCGGAAAAGTACAGGGGCTCTACCTCGCAAGAAGGACCCCTCTGAGGCCAGAGTCATCACTCTGGATTCGCTCGGTGTTGGACACTCAGCGACTTGCGGAAACTTGAAAGAATATCTTGTCCGTGAAGCCAAAGACAAGAAAGATCTGGAAATCGAGGCTCCGGGCCAATTTGGCATGACTGCGAAGAACATCCCGGAGCAACTCGATCATGCAAGCTGCGGTGCTTTTCTGCTGGGCTACTTGCGAGAATTCTTGAAGGCTCCGGATGACACCGTTGGTCGCATTGTGCGCAAGGAGGAAATGAATTGGGATATCACGTCTATCGCAATGCGAAGCGAGTTGCGCAGCATTATTATCGAGCAACGAGAAGAACAAAACCGACGTTTCGCTCTGCTTGCTGCAGAAAAGAAGGCCAAGCGCAAAACACCAAAGGCACCCATTTCGAGCAAGTCATCGGAGGAGCCAAGTGGCGTGCCCTCGACACCAAGGACTCCCGTCTCAGCTGGAGACGCGCCCAAGAAGCCGTCTTCTACTATCAAAGGGTCCCCTGCGACCCCTTCGATCCCTTCGATCCCTTCAATGGATGGCAGCAGCTCTCCCGTCAAGACGGAAACCAATGGCGAAGCACCACCTGTGCACGATAGTGTACCTCAAGAGCCATCTGGGTCTGAAGTCGGCATAGCCAAGACCGCGGAAGAGCTGCAGCCTGTCGCATCGAAAATTTCTGAACGGCCGAAAACGCCGCCCAGGTCTGAGCCGCCCGCAAAGGTCAATCCTTCCCCAACTCAGCAGAGAACGAGCCCTCGCTTCAACAAAGGCAAAACGAATGGTCAAGTTGACAAGGTGCAAACCACCGACGAGGCTCCTGCTGCTTCGCCTTCGGCAACCTCGAAGGCGGAGTCAGCCCAAAAACGACTGAGGAAACCAGGGTTTAGTCCGGCAGAGGAGATCATGAACCAGATATCATCACCGTCCAAGACTCATCCCATGCCTATCCGCACTGAGCGGCGTGCTTCTAGGCCCACCGAAAAAAGTCCGACTCCAACCCAGCAGCTTCTAAGTGAATCGCAGGATTCGCCGTCCAAAAAAACACCAGTACAGAATCTCACCCACACGGCCGAACGCCCAAGCACGCACAAAGACCGATCAACGCCGAAACAGAAGCATCTCCAAACCCTCACGCAGGCGCCCACACTAACGAGCCCCTATTTCGCGCCTCCTGTCAAGTCGCCGCCTTCAGCGACTAAGCCTAGACAACTGAGTATCGAGGAAATACCTCAACCCATATCGACTCAACCCATACCTAGCATTGAGGATGAGGGGCTTTACCACAAGTCACCCGGCAACAGTGGTTTCAAGTCCAGCCAGACTGTGACTGTAGACCTCACCGACTAGGGCGTGCTTCAAGATACGCATGATGATGAATTTAGCGAGGAGCAGCCAGTTGTGGCTGAAGCGAAGGAGACATAATGAGCTTTGGCAGGCATTCGAACGGTTGGAACAACCAATCAAGTAGATTTGATCTTTTTGCCTTTCGCCGATTGATTGGTTGGTGAGGCGTTGTTAAGGTAGCGCATGGTCCCATAGCATAGGAAGCCTTGATATCCATACGCATAGAGTTATAGCATGGCGTCAATAGGGGGCCGGGAAGAATTGATGAAGTTCTCGAAGAGTGGCTGCGATTTCCATGGCCTTGATGGAGAGTAGAGGCTCATCTCGTAGATCGTACATTGTGGTACAAGATCCTCTATGCAAACGTCCCAGCTCCTTCCCTCTCTCCCAGGGATATATAAACACGTCTAACTTTTAATCGCTTCCCGAATCTGATGCATCATTATGGTTGCCGTTTAACTCTGGCTTTTTCACCACCCTCGGCACTTCAAACACGTAACCACCGTTCTTCCCCTTGCCCTTCTTCATCTGCCACCTGCCCAACCTGTGCTCCTTTCCAACTGCAGCGACGACGCAAACACCGTCTTGGCCGCGGTCACCGCGCTCAAAGATGGCAATATCATTAATCACGCCCTTCAGGCCGCAGACATCTGCTGACTTGCCGTTGGGCGCAGATTTTGAGGCTCGCTCGGCCTCCGATGTGAGAACACCCGCCGCCTCAATCTTTCTCTTGTCTTCGCTCAGCCGCCACACTCTTATGCAACCGTCCCAGCTTCCACTGAGGATGACATCTGAGTAGGGAATCGTCTTGAGCGCTGTGATCCACCGCGGCTGAGGCGGCGGTACGAGGCTCGAGTCTGGGTTGTGGTCCGCCGAGATTTCGTCAGGGCGGAGGGGTTCTTCCAGGCCGTGCGCCATGGGGAGGATGAAAATGGGCTTCTTCTTGGTCACGCCCCAGAGCGCCAATGAGCCGTTGTCACTGCCGGTGACAAAGAGCTCGTCATCGATCATGGCTACACGGTCCATACTGCCCTCATGAGGGAGCGAGCGCGGATCAACGTCTGGACGGGACTTCTTGTCTACTGCACCACCGCGGAAGACGAGCTGTGTCTCTTCCGCAACCTTCCACAGACGTGCTGTGCGGTCACGCGCGCCCACACTGACGCAGCGTTCTTGGGCGAGGGCGTCAATGTCGACGATCTCGTCTTGGTGTCCGAACAGCGTCTCGATGTACGCGAGCTCGTCTAAGCTCCAGACCTTGACGGTACGGTCTCTTGAGCAGGAGTACAGTTGATTTGTGCCACGACGGAAAGCAAGACCAGTAACGGCGTCGCGGTGGTGCGTGAAAACGCGGATGGGCTTGAGGGTTTCGGCGTCGTAGATGATGAGCCTGCGGTCCTCGCCGCCGGTGACGACGTACTTGCCGTCCGGCGAGGCGGCGACGCAGAGGATCTTCTCCACGTGACGCTGGAATGACTTGTTCCTGGCGGCATTGATGTTGCCCCTCAACCATGTCTGCAGCTCGGGTCGCTTGCGCGGCGGCGCGGGGGGCTTCTTGGGCTTCTTGCGCGTGGTCTGTTGGAACTGGTTCTTCGGCAGGTCTTGTATCCTCCACTTGTGTACGTACAGATCCTTGGTGGTGGTGTAGGCGTAGGGGAAGTTGACGGCAACGGAGGTAAAGGTCTCGGTGTTGTTCTTGAAGAAGGAAGAGGTCGCGTTGCCAAAGGCAAGTTCGTCCGCGAGCTGGCGGTAGACTTTTCCCTTCGACTCGGCCACGTCCTCTTGTAAGCGCTCGTTGATCAGGTCGCGGTCAATCTCGGCGGCGTCGAAGCCCGCAAGGTCCACCTGCTCCTTGACGTTCTCGAGGTACTGCTCGGCCAACCTCAGGCGGCGCTCAGCAGCCGTCTCGCCGGGCATCTCGTCGTCGTCGTCTTCGGAGCCATTGCTCTCTTCGGGGCCGGCGCTGACTATGCTCTCATCATCCGAATCGCTACCCGAGATGGATTCGTCGTCGTCGTCACGCTCAGTTCGCTTCTTGGAGGCGGGTGCTGCTGATTTCGCGCCTTTCGCCGCGCCGGTCTTGCCTTTGGCTGCTGCCGCTTTTGGAGGGGCCCTGTTGTTCGCGGTCTTGGAGGCTGCGATTCGCTTCTTGGGAGCCTCGGGGGCGGCTGTCCTCTTGCGCTTCTTGTTCGATCCGGGGATTGTGAAGAAGGAGGACATGTTGGGCACCGATCGGGTGACCTCTAAGGGGGTATCTGGGCGAATTGCTCCCGTCTTCGCCTGGGCTGCCTTCTCGGTGAACTTTTTTTTAGGTGGGCATCCTGACCAGAAAAAAAAAAGTTCTGGACGGGTACGTATTTCGGAGAATCAGATGTCAATGTGGGGTCGCTTGGGCCAATTGAGTGAGATGCGGCAGGGGTGGTTTTTCCGGGCTCGGAGGCGGGCGGCGGTCTGATTCGGCAGAATTCCGCTGTCGGCTGGTGCGTTCAGGCTGTAGCTTGACTGCGCGTTCCGGGGGGTAGCTCGACGTAGCCACCAGGTAGAAGGCTGACGAGACGACGACCCATACCCAACGACCGAACAAACCAAACAACAAACTTCCACCCCTCCAACCACGAAGCAGACACAGCAACAGCAGCCATCATGTAAGATTTCATTCTCTACAGCTTCTCGTTGGTTTTCATGGATGCAATGGCTAATGTGAATTGCGTCGGGCAGGGAGGTGTTACTCGGTATCACGGGCAAGGACTTCACCATCATTGCAGCTTCCAAAGCTGCCATGAGAGGCGCTACCGTCCTCAAGGTCGCCGACGACAAGACGAGACCTCTCAACAAGCACACACTGATCGCGTACTCTGGCGAGGCGGGTGACACTGGTTAGTAGCTACTGTGCCCCACCGAGCTTCCCCTCCAACCCGGTTCGGGCGGGAAGCTTCATCGTCACGACGGCGAGATGGGTGCTAACGTTAGTATGAAATTAGTGCAATTCGCCGACTACATTCAAGCAAACTCCCAGCTCTACTCGATGCGTAACGAGACGGACCTCTCACCCTCCGGCCTGGCCAACTTCATCCGCGGCGAGCTCGCCTCGAGCTTGCGTTCGCGCAAGCCCTACAACGTCAACCTCCTCCTGGGCGGCGTCGACCCCATCACACAGAAGCCTGCGCTGTACTGGCTGGACTACCTCGCCTCGCTGGCGCCGGTGCCATATGCCGCCCACGGCTACGCACAGTACGTTTGCCCAGGGAGCTCCATATCTACCACGAGCGGAGCATGATTCTCGGAGGCGGAACGACGAAAGCTGACGATGATACAGATACTACTGCCTGTCGATCCTCGATAAGCACCACCACCCCGACATCACCCTCGGCCAGGGCATCAAGATCTTGAACATGTGCACGGACGAGCTCAAGAGACGGTTACCGATTGACTTCAAGGGCATGGTGGTCAAGGCCGTCACCAAGGACGGCATCGTGGACATAGAATTCGACGATGACAAGGTGGTGAAGGCTCCTTGAGCGAAGCAGGCGGCGGATGAGTGATGAAAAACGGGCCTTTTTTTGATGACGTGCAAGGAGCACCAAGAGGCCTTGCCAGCAACAACTGTACTACTAGACCGGGCTGGTAATTGATACAGGCATCAGTTCTATCATGAGAAGCGAGGTTGAAGAGGGTTACGTGGTGCTGTCCGAGTGATGCAACTTGCTGGGGCTTTCTAACCGGCTCAGTTGGCGAGACCGACCAGTTGACCCGGGATATAGCCAGCATGCGTTCGAAAACACATATCCTGCGAGACCGTATTGTGTAAAAAGGTCTGGATATGGTGCCTCGTCTTTTTCTACAGCAAGGCACACGGTTCCGACGCTCGGATTTAACTTTGCCTGACAGCGGTGTGATTTTCGCTGTATCAGCGTTTGAAAAGCGCTGGGTCGGGGTCGAGGGGCAAGCGGTGAGGTCACGGTTTTGTAGCATAAACAGGGATAACGGGCGTTTGAAACGTGGGAGGAGGGCCGTACCCAGCGGTGCCAGCACCAGTCAGACCGGCTGTTTGGCCGTACTTTTTTCCTTTTCGCTTCTCGAATCGTTCGTTTCTTGCCCGGCGTATGTGTGGTGTGTGTAATTTTAGGTGTGATCCGACAACATGTTTGGCTTCATCCCATCATCTCGGGCGTCTCAAGAGTTGGGAGGATTAGGACGGCATGCCGGCCGGCCGGTCGAATCAGTACCGGCGATACGTACCCGACCGTCTGGACTAGGCCGGATGTTGACTCGGTCGTCCTGCCCTCTGAGCAACAAATCCCTTGTGAAGCTGACTAGTATGAAAGTAAATGCGCGTTTCTTTATTGGTCGCAACGGGCAGCTCGGCGGTGCCGATGCATCAGACAATGAAATGCGAATGGTGGTTGGGATTTCTCGGGTTCTGTATTTTTCATGCCGCGACCCTAGGCGGAGGGAAGTTTTGCCCTGGGAGTGGCGTGGTTGAGAGTGTCCGGCCAGACAACTGGAATTCAACGGGGTCGGTTGTCGTAGTGGAGGACGTGGGATGTGTTAGGGGCCATACGAGTGCAAGGACCCAGGAGATGACGTAGGTGAGATAGTGCCTTCATAGAATTTCTCAAAGAAAGCACTTGCAGTCGAGGGCTTCCTGTACCACGTCTGGGTTTCTGGAATGCGAGTCCAAAACCCAAAAACCTAAGTTATGGCGTGGTAGTGGTTGGTTGAACCTCCAGATTGAGTTTCCATGTTCCGGTGTTGAGCATCCGCTTGTCTTTTCGACTGAGGGTGGGGGTGCTGCCCATGGTCTCAGCTATCTGGATAGCCTAGCTCAGTGTTCCAAGAAGGCGGATTATTGGAAAATAGTCAAAGCCAACGTCTTAGTTTAGTCGTTTCGAGGGATGGCCAAGAAGAAGGAACAGAAGCAAATCGGATCATTTCTTCATCTTAGCCTGCGTCTGCCTGGACCGACTGTTTGGTCATCGCTGCGTAAAGTTTGTCGAGAAGAG